ATGGTCGTGCTGCCCTGCCTGCAGGGCGTGTTTCGGGATGCGTTGGGCAAAGAGTTCCTCGTCAACCTGGGGCCGAGGATGGCGCTCATTCGCGCTCGCGGGCACAGACACGTTGGCGGCGTGGAGGAAGAGTCCTTGATAACCCGCGTCGAGATCTACAACCGCCTGATGATGGACTTCCTGGTGAACCAGGTGTATCTCGGAATACTGCTCTTCACCATGCATTCGTTGTGCTTTCACGCGAGCTACATCGATCTGGTCACGAATCTCTTCGCCGTGGCCTTTATCACAACACTCGACGACGAGGCTGTTGACGTCACTGAGGTTGTAATCATCGGTGATGGGGGCGACAAATTTGGAGACGCGACATTGTAGACGTAGCTCGTGATCGGTAGATCCACTCTTCGCATTCCATGAATGGGGCAAATCTGTGCAGCTGGGTCTGTCCTTACCGCGGCATGCCACACCATTTGGCACGTTTCACAGGCGTCCTGGAATATGTCGCCATTCCTTGCGAAATGCCAACGTGATGCAGACTCCTCAGCAGCGCGTCGGCTCGCTAGCCAGATAGTAAGTAGCACAGCCTTTCGGAAGGAACGTGCCTTGCAAAGAGGAGCCTCATCGTCAATGAGTTGGAGCAGAAGGAGCAGTGGAAGAGGATTGATGGGACTGCGTGGATGGGGGCCTGCTGCTGGGGGAAGCAGCCGCGGAGTGAGGTGGAGGAGCCCCTGGGGGGAGCCGATGGGGGGAGCTCGGGGGCTGGGGAGACATCGAAAGAGGAGCACATCAAACATTGAAGTTCGACCATCGAGCGCTCTGTTCTGGAACAGGGCATCGCGACCCATGCTGGTGAGATCTCGGGGCAGTTCAGCTTGAGCCTGGCAGGTGTTTGGCGCGTGGGGCGGTATCGGTTCTCTGGTTCCGTTGTGCTTGTCGATTTTGTCTCGTTGGTCCAGGCCACGCTGCGATTCGGCCCGTTCGGTTTCAGGTCAGAGTTCTTGTTCGTGTTACGATTGTCCTCGATGCACGTTCTCCGTTGCTGGTGGCGCAATTCGGGGACAGGAGCATGACCATGGAACTATGTTTGCAACCGCCATCGTGCACAGTGTAGTGGACGTTGTTCGAGGTAGCTTCGCGAGCGCGAGACGATCTACCAAATATGTACACTGTCTGTGTTGGGCGAAGACCTGAGTGTCGTAGTGTACCTATCTGCGGCTCCTAGAAAGACCATGGTTGCAAGCACCGTCATTACAGTAGGAGCTCGACCACAAGAAACCTTCACAAAAAACCCAACCCTGAGACCTCAGGGCGTCCATTGATTTTCTGTGTGAGGACGCCACGTGTTCCACATCAAAACCATCGAAACCCAGGAAACCCAGGGCACCCTGGAGGCAAGCAGGGTGTTTCTGGGCATTGGTCTCCACTGCATCATCAGAGGCGTGGGAGGGGCTCGAAGGCGGACGAGGAAGGCCCATCTTGATCCCCTGCGAAGCCCCGCAAGGCAGATGCTGTTCATTGCCGACGATCAGCACGTGGCCCTGCATTTCAAGGTCTGCTTCCCTCCCCCCTCCTCCCTCCTCCCTCCCCGGCTCCTCCCCTCCCCCGTCCCCTCCTCGCCCCCCTCCCCACCCTCTCCCTCACCCCCCCTTGTCCCCGCCCTCTCCCTCGCCCCCCCCCGCTCTCCTTTGGTCTGCTGGACGCAGGCCCACCAGCATTTTCAGAGGGGGGGCCCTCGAGGCAGCAGCGGCGGTCCTGGCCGGCGGTTCTCTTTATCTCCTCTTCGGCGCCTCCTGGAGGCGTTTCGTCTCGCAGCGGCGGGATCCGCTTCCGAAAAGGGGGAAATTGTCGGGGGGGACTGTTTCACAGTAAGGGGTGGGGGGGAGATTCTCCACAGCGAAGCGACGGGTCAGGATGGAACCCAGGAGGTGCCATGGGAGCGATGTCGAGCGGTCGGGCTGGGCGGTAGAGGTGCTGTTGTCTTGACCGGTTCGTTTCTTTCTTAGTTTCCAGACCCTGCGTTTCGTCGCTGTGCCAAGGGGCGAGCGCACCCGACGAGTTTGCCCGCACGCTCGTGGTCTGTGAACCCCCGATTCCCGATGTTCTTCTCTAGGCCCCGCAGATGGGGTCGGAGTAGGTGGGGTCGGAGGATCTCGCCGCATCGCAGATGCATCGCCGATGCGGCTCGATGCGGAGCCCGATGTTCTCTTCGCTGGCGTCGCCGATGCATCGCCGACGTCGCCGATGAATCGCCGAGACATCGGCGATGCATTGGCGATGCGGCGCGATCCTTCCACCCCACCTGATGGGACCCGTCCGGGAGGCCTCTGCTGCCCTCGGTTCCCGCTGTACTTCTGTGCGCGTCTTTCACACGCAGAGGGCCGAAGGCCGCCCGGGGGGAGCCCGATCGGGGAAACGCAGGACTCGAGCATGCCGGAACTCGGGTTTGGTGTTTTGACGAGTGCGTCCCGGATGTTGACGCTCCAGTTTCCGTGGGATGTTTGCAGCGGGAGGTCGCGTCAAATTTCAGAGTCGGGCCTGTCCCCCTACAGGAGGAATGTATTCAAAAATAGCACAAACATAGTCTGGGGACTATTTTTTGACTCGTTTAAGCATTTTGGGAGCATGTGTTTCGTATTTTCAGTTTTTCGCCCAAAATCCCCCTGTAGGGGGGCAGGCCCGACCTAACCATAATTACCGCTACCCTTCCATCGTTTTCCCCTTTTTGGGGCTTCTTGGGAGGCCCTCGTCGCCACTGCTGGAGTCGCCTCAGGATCCTGGTCAGAACGCACCCCGGGAGAGGTCCAGGGAGCAGCGGTATCGGTACCCTTTGAATCCCCCAAAGAAGAGGAGAACGAGAATTGCAGGGATCCAGTACACGTCGGTCGTTGAAAGTGGGTATTTCTGGATCCCCAGATCCCACATCTACTTTAGCCGCCTTTCTACTTCAAGAGTCGAGTGGTTTTCCTTCTGCCCTCCTCTTCATGAGGTGGGCGGAAGCCCAGTCTACTTCAACGCCTTCCTGCATCACGTTTTTACTACCTTCTTCCGACCGATGGGTTCCGTTTCTCCGATCCCCATCCCGATCCCCGCCCCCATCCCGATCCCCACCATCCCACAAGTCCAGTTGGGGATGTGCCCCTCGAAACCCGAAGGGACCAGCCATCCAGGGGGGCAAATCGCCCTGTGGGGCCCAGGCCACGCGGGTGGGGATAGGGATCGGTTGAACGACACTCAGGGATCAGGCACAGAGATCGGACGTATCATGTTTTCTTCAGTGCGGGGCCTTTGGAAGTCCCGACGACGACGACGAATATGATGATGACGACGCCAACGACGACGACGACGAAAACCACATCCACAACGACTCCGAAGACGACGACGACGACGACGACGACGGCGACGACGGCGACAACGGCTACGGCGACGACGATCGTTTGACGGTCCCTGGACCCGTGTAGGGGTCCCTGGAAGCCAGAAGCGACGAAAGCCCTCCGTCTCGTTTTGAGTTGAACTGCGTTGGAGGTGTTTCGGCTGCGCGCAGAGAAGGGTAGAAAGCACCCCTGTGTCTTAGAAGATGCGGGCCTCATCTATACATGTAAGGCCCTGACCTTCTAAGAAGCAGCCTGCTTCCAAGAAGCCTTCCCCCTCCCTCTAACCCCCTTGTGCGCGCCGCCAAGTCTTGGGGGGCGATGATTCTAGAGAATGCGAGCGGCGACATCACTTACGACTACTTGGGTCGATCCTGGCAAAGTGGGCCCAGCCCGCTCAGCGGAGTTACCTACCCACCCTGAGCCACTCAGGGCACTTGCGACTCACTGGTAAGCTAGATTAGGCCAGATAGATCTCACCTTCGCATCGACTTGCAACCCCCCCAGGCATCTCGCACGATTGTAGATGCCCTGGTGTGTGCTTCGGATGCAGAGCCCCGCTCCCCAGGGAATGTTTGGGGGGCGCGTAATGGGGGGGCGATCAATGGGGGGCAGCGAGGCTGCCGAAAAGGGGCTTGTCAAGGCCTCTGAAGGGGCCGTTTCGGGCCAGGGAGCCTCTAGGGTCCGCCAGGGGCCTCCCCCTCCCCCCCCCAATGTGTCGCCCCCCACCAATTTGCGCCCCATCCTTGGGAATTGCCGCGTCAGATCCGTACCCTTTTTCCTCGGTGCGCAGGCGATTTTTTGCGTGCTGCTGGTTATGACACCCTTGCCGGGGTCTGGATGACACGCGCTTGCAGTATGGAACTGTGGACGAGCCTGGAGGACGGCTCCGTGTACGAGTCCAACTGAGGCACTGCGGTGCTCTGCGCCCAGGCCCCGCGCAGGGCCGGGCGCTGCCCGACAGTGGGTGTCTGTCTGTCTGTCTGTCTGTCTGTCTGTCTGTCTGTCTGTCTGTCTGTCTGTCTGTCTGTCTGTCTGTCTGTCTGTCTGTCTGTCGGTGCGCAGGCAGCGCCTAAGGTCGACATCGCCATCAGGGGGCCGTCAGCTCCTCGTTCGGAGCGGGGGTGCCGGGAGATGCCACGGCGCGGCTCGGCGCTAGCGCTGCCGCATACAGTGGAGACCCATGCCAAGAGACACCCCGCTCGCCTCCTGGGTGCCCTGGGCTGCTGGGGCTTCCATTCTTTAGCGATGGAAAGCGTGACGTCCCCGCACCAAAAAGCAATGGGCGTCCTGGGGTCTCAGGGTTGGGATTATCGTGGAAGGTTTCTTGGGGTCGGGCCTCCACTGTGCAGTCGGACCTATGAAGCAACAACATCCTTCAAGCACACGAGACTCTTCGCCGGCCAAAACACACAGAGCATCTGAGGGCACCTTCCGCAGGATGCACCCTTCCCGAGCCGACCTCTATTCTACACCTTGGTCCGACTGTGTCTCTTCTGGCCGAACGGGCCCCCCAGCGAATTTTGGGTGAATTTGCCATGTTTTGGGTAGCTGAATTCCCAAGCCTCCTGTGTGTTGGGTCCTCGTCTTGAAACGCAGCGCCGCACGCCACCTCACCTCCCCGCTTCCCCTCCTCTCCTCTTCCTCTGCTGTCGGCATCATCCGCCCATCGTTGCTCTACCTTCCGAATGTCAGTTCCGGGACACCACTCACACGCTTCGTGCACCCTTAGGGAGCTCCACCGAATGCCCTAGTTGCAGGGTTCGCATGGTAACCAGCCCCATTTCGGAACACGCCCTTTCGAAACTTCCATCGGATACCCCACTGGCATGGTCTCGTCTCATAGTGACCCGCCACATGTCAGCACACCCCTCGCACGTTTCGTGGTCCCGTAGGGAGCTCCACCGAATGCCCCAGTGGCAGGGTTCGCAAGGTGACCTGCCCCATACTGGTACACACCCCACACGGTTTGTGCCCCTCTGGGGAACCCCACCGAAGGCCCCAGAGACTGACCCGGGCGTGGGCGCAGGATCCTGCATAATCTTGCAGGATCTTGCAAATCTTGCAGGATCTTGCAAGGCCTGATTGACCCGGGCCTGAATTGACCCAGGTGAGTAGATCCCCCAAGCTCACCGGGGTCCCCCCGATCGCTGAGCCCCATGCGATAGTGGCTGCGGGCGCATGGGAAGTGGCCACCTTGGGCCCCCTCAGTCCGCGCACGAAAGTCACCTTAGCCCAGGGCCACTCTTCTTGCGTGTAGCTCATGTTATCCACTGCGGGGCCCTTAGGAGTCCCGACCTTTTCCGTGGGACCCTCAACAGCGACGCTGCGTGATCCGCCCGAAAGCATGGTAAGCCATTCCCACAAGCCCTCGGGGGCGAGCGAGGGTCCCGGTCGTGGATCCGGTATGCAAGATTCCTTCCCTGGGGCCTGGCCTTTGTACACTGCAAGTGGGCCCCGGGCGGTGGAGTGGAATCTGATTGGGCGGCGAGGGCGCGGTATGCAAAAAGGTTTTGAGAACATGAGAGCGCACATGATGAGTCAGCAAGAGGGGCCAGAAACAGCGACGCTGCATGAGAGCACGCATGACGAGTCAGCAAGAGGGACCCGAAACAGCGACGCTGCACGAGAGCACACATGACGAGTCAGCAAGAGGGACCCTGAACAGCGACGCTGCGTGAGAGCACACATGATATGAGTCGGCAAAAGGGACCCTGAGCAGCGACCCTGCATGTGATCGTTTTCTCATGCATTGTTTGCCGATGGGCGCGGGCCCTCGGACCCCCCTCCCCCCCCATGGGGTAGATATTGGCTGTGTCTGGCCTTCCCCCCTAGGACGCACTGCGGCAAACAGTCGCATTCAGCAGAGATCCCCCCCTTCCCCCTTCCTTCCGCCCAATGTCGAGACCCAGACCCCCGACGCCATGATTTGTTCATTACGCGACCCCCAGAGGTCCAGACCTATTCGCCGGGACCGGTTTTTCATCCTGAGTCGTTTTTTTGACGGTCCCGAGGGCCGGTAGGGGCTTCCAGAGTCCGAGTTCTAGAAAAACCTTCCGTCGTGACTTTTGCATGATTCGAGGGGGTCTGGGGGCGCCGAGCAAGAAACGCTGACCTGCATGAGCGCACACGTGACGTGTCGGCATCCGAGGCGGGCTGCGCCGGGTGTGCGTGGCCCGGGCCGCCTGGCACGGCGCGCGGGCAGGGCACGGCTCGGGCAGTCGCGCGTTCTACGGAGGTCAGGCACGGCAAGTGCGGGCAGTACTTATGTCCATGCCCACTGGAGTTTCGGGCTCCCTTCCCCAGAAACCCGAGGCGCACTGGATATGGAGAAATTTGCCCCCTGGAGGCTCGGTTTTTATCCATACCCAGTGCGCCTCGGCCTTGAGGCGCCCCTTCCAAAAAAGCTCAAGGCGCACTGGATATGGATATAAGTCTTGCCCGCAGCAAGCGGGCACGCCACCGCACGGCATACGCGTCGCATCCTCCTCCTCCTCCTCCTCCTCCTCCTCCTCCTCCTCCTCCTCCTCCCTCCTCCTCCTCCCTCCTCCTCCTCCTCCTCTCTCCCTTCTCCTCTCTCCTCTTCCTCCTCCTCCTCCTCCTCCCTCCTCCTCCTCCTCCTCCCTCCTCCTCCTCCTCCTCCTCCTCCCTCCCTCCCTCCCTCCCTCCCTCCCTCCCTCCCTCCTTGCTTCTCCTCTTCTTCCCCCTCCTTGAGTAGGAGCGGTAGAGGGGAACCAACTCTGGGGAGGGGCATCGAGCTCGAATCGGGGATACGTCGCCGGTAGATTGGCTATAGGCTCCTGGTAGCAGCTCCGCACGTTTCCAGGCGGGCGGTGATTTGCTCCGAATCCCTTCTTGGCCGAACCCCCCCTAGAAAACCGGACCCCCCTCCAAATGCGACCTAACATTCCGGACCCCCCCCCTCTTCGACGGGGCGCCTTCATGAACCGGACCCCCGAAGCTCCAATGCAAGGAAAGCGCCCTAGGGAACCGGGCCCTCCCAGTTACAAAAAGGGCGTTGAACGAGACCAGACCCGGGGGACGATTGAGAAGGGATTTGGAGCAGCCTCGCGGCCCAAGGCACGACACGAGGAAGAAGCAACGCCACACACGGCACGGCATGGCACTGCACCTCTTCTCGCATGCTACAGTCAACCATGACAGTAAGGATGATGGGGCACCTTTCCAAGGCTACCCTTGCATCCTTGCCCCTGCGGTATTCGGCATCCTTCGGCACTCTGCTGCGCTCCGCGCGGAAAACGTCAACATGACGTTCCAAGGCCTTTTGCACCCTCACCGCGCATCCTCCCTGTCCTGGTCGAGTGTATAGACCTTGGGCCCAGCACGGCGCGCGGGCGCGGGCGCGGCACGGCACATTCTTCGCGCTCGACGGCTCAGGCACGGCACGCGGGCACCGTGCGGCACGCGTTTCTCGCTGCAGTACGGTGGGGGCGTTGGTTGAGGAGTGCGCCCAGGATGCTGCAGACCCTGGAGGGCGGCGGTGATATCCATGGCCAAACTTCGATTGGAGTTCCACCAGCCTCCAGACCCTGGATTCCTTATCTAGGGGTTCCTTACCCAATGCCCCCACCGTATTCAGGCACGGCGCGCGGTCAGGGCGTGGCACGTCACATCGCTTGCCTTCCAGAGCTTAGGCTGAAGTCGGGCACGCCTTCCCACAGGAGGAATCTTCAGACACTGTCAACAAAATAGTCTGGGGACGATGTGGGGGGGCATTGTTTGATTATTGTTGGATATTTGTTGCGTATGTTTGATTATGTGTTGCGTATTTGTTTGAATATTTGTTGCGTATTTAGACGATCCTGGAAGCTTCTTATTGTCATTTGGCCTGGCTTTCCTGCGCCTCCAGTGGTCCACAGTCGTTTGCTCGCGCCACTGGAGGCCACAGGGGGCTACGGGAGGCCACTGAAGGCCATTGGAGGCCGCGGGGGGGCCACTGGAGGGGACACGGGAGGCGGCTCTAGGCTTGCGGGGAGCCGCTGGGGCCCAATGGTGGCCACTGGAGGAGCCACTGCGGCCACTCAGGTGATCACGAAAGGCTCCCAGGAGCGTTCAGGAGGGTAAAAACACAGACGCAATCAATCGTCGATCCCCCAGACAATAGGGGAACCTGCGGGAAGTGTGGGGGGAGACAAACACGCAGAAAATACAGGAAACACTGGGGGAATCCTGTCACCTGTGCCTATTGCTGTGTGTCTCCCAGGGCCCCTTCGAGCGTCGTCTGCAAGGGGACGTGCCCGACCTGAACTCCGGCGTGGCACGCGGCACGCGGGCACGGCACGACGCCGCACACTGCCGTCCGCATCCTGGAGAGGCACGCCACGCGGCACACTGTCGAGGCCGTGGCCCGTCGTGGGTGCCTCGCGGGCGCCTGCCGCGAATGATGTACATCCTCTTCCTCCTCCTCGTCCTCCTCCTCCTCTTCCTCCTCCTCGTCCTCCTCGTCCTCCTCCTCCTCCTCCTCCTCCTCCTCCTCCTCCTCCTCCTCGTCTTCCTCTTCCTCCTCCTCCTCCTCCTCCTCTTCCTCCTCCTCGGCCTCCCCCTCCTCCTCACCCTCAGCGGGTTCTTCTGGTAATAACATTGTTTTTTGGGGCATTCGCCGTGCAGGGAGCACGTTGCTCCGAGTTTCTTAATACGCGTCGGGGGGGCGTCACCCCCGCCGGCAGCCCTACATCGACCCCCGCGGCGGGCAGCCATCGCGCGCCGACGGCGCTCCGACCCCCGTCGCGGCGCGACGACGGGGCGAGGCTGACCCCCGTCGGGGGGGCCCCCCCCACGCTCATTAAGAAACCCAGAGTAAGGGAATACGCTGGAGGTCCCCAGGCGTGGTTCCCCCACGCCCCTCCATCCCCACTCACCACCCACCAAACCACCCCAACCCAACCCGAAGGCTCAAATTTACCGTCGATTTCCAGTGGGGGGGGGATCGGGGAACATTGAAAAAACACATATGGAACCCGTACCCCCCCCCAACCCGAAATTGGGGTCTTCGGGTTGGGTTGGGGTGGTCTGGTAGGTAGTCACCCACGGAGGTGGCCAGGGACGGCATGCTCTTCTTCATCTTCGGCTCCGTCGTGGCGGAGAAGGAGGCCTTTCTCTCTCCCTGGGCAGGGGCTGGGCGGAGGCGAGCGCTGAGAAGGAGGAGGGAGGAGCAGTGTCAGGAGGGGAAAAAACGCACAGACACAATTATTCGTCGATTTTTAAGAAAATATGGGAACATATGGGAAGTGGGGGGGAAGACGAAAATCCAAAAAGTATGGGAAAATATGGGGAGTAGTTTTATTTGTGTGTATTTATTTGTGTGTCCTGGGGCCCCTTCACAGTGGGACGAAGCTCGGCGTTGCAGGAGGCAGCTCCCAGGAGGCTCGGTTCAGCATCGGCGTTTGTATATCCGCGGATGGCCGAGCTCAGGCGTGGCGAATCTGCGTGACTAGCTCATGTCCCCTAACCTTGTTTACACTTGGTGGTTCTCACTTTTGCCAAGAAGCTGGGCGTGTGTGCCGGTCTGGCGGCCTTGTTGTCGCCGTCGCCGCGTCGTCGCCGCCAGTCGCCTGGTCCTGTGTGGCGGTCTGGCGGCTATGCTGTCGCCGTCGCCGCCCCGTCGCCACCTCGTCGCCGCCCGTCGTCTGGGCCTGTGTGGTTGTCTGGCCGCTTTGTTGTCGCCGTCGCTGCTTCTTCGCCGCCCGTCGTCTTGGCCTGTGCGGCGGTCTGGCGGCTATGCTGTCGCCGTCGCCGCCCCGTCGCCGCCTCGTCGCCGCCCGTCGTTTGGGCGTGGATAGCTGCCTGGCGGCTTTGTTGTCGCCGTCGCCGCCTCGTCTCTGCCCGGTGTCTGGGCCTGCATTGTTTGGCATTGCTATGTTTTGCTTTGCGCTGCACTGCTGCGCACTGCTTTGCGTCGCGTTGTCTTGCATTGCTCTGCATCGCCATGCCGTGCTTTGTAAAGCATTGCCTTGTTTGACATAGTCTCGTATCGCGTTGCATTGATTTGCATCGTTTGCACCGCATTTGGTCATATAGATTCTCTGTTCTAGAGCGGGGGTGGATAGACCTCCTACCCTAACACGTCGATTAGTGACTTGGCCGTTTTCGATTCGCGAGAGGGCGTCGCGGCCGTCATGTTTGCGGGTCCAGGTCCGTCGGTTTCGGCCCCAGGCCGTTTTCACTAAGGGGATGTTTACTAAAGGGAGGTTTGTCCACCGCCGACTAAAAGACTAATGGGATCGCCCCCCACCCCCAGAATGAGCGATCCCCTTTTTCGTATTGCAATTTTGATGCGATTCTGCCCCATCGTCAATCCTAAATATGAAGTCACTCCCTCCCAGGCGAGCCCGTGTTTCCCCACCTCATCTTTTGGAGAAGATATTATGCGCGCGCACTTGTTTATCACATATCAGCACTTTCCAATCATCATCCTGGAAAACAGTTCACGAAGTGCGCACGCGCGCCTCGTCGCGCGCGCATGCCAACATGCTGCAAACACCGTGGGTTTCGCAAGGATTTCGAAATCGAGTGCCCCGAAAACATGTCAAACACCACATGGCTTCGCAACAAGACTTGTCAAAACAGCATGCGCCCGCGCTCTCGCGAGGGCCTCTACGCTCGCATGTCGAAGTCATTCGGACGCCCCTGCGCGCGAGCCGTCGCAATAATCTTTTTTGTAAACTGCGGGACGACGTGCGCACGCGCGCGTCGTCGCGCACGCACGCCGAAGTCCTTCAGCAACCTTAGGCCCCGTAGGGATTTCAAAATCAAGTATCCCGAAAACAGATAGCAAGCACATGGTCTTTGCAACACCAGTTCTCAAAAAATGCGCTCACATGTTATGTGAATTCTCGAGAAAACCATGAGTTGTCAAAATTGAATGCAATTCTGCCAAACGGGCTTCTCGCGCCGCATGTCGAAAGCATTGGAACGCCCTTGCGCGCACGCTGGGGGGGGGGCACGATCCGTGTCAAATAATATCATGCGGGCCAGTTTCGTCCGTCGGCCGCGCGCGCATGTCGAACTCCTTCCAAAACTTTCATCACCAACGCGAGAACGCCGTCACCGTCGCCGGCGTGATCAGCATCGGCGCCGTCGCAGGCCTTGCCGCCGTCGTTGTCATCATCGTCACCAGCATTGCCATTACCATTCTCGCGTCTACCGTCACCGACGTTGCCAGGATACCGCGCCCGCCCAAGTTGCCGACTCGCACTGAAGCACCCGCTGGGAAGTGTCCAGCGTTCAGTGCCACCACAGCCGTGCCGGTCGCGGCCGCAGAAATGCACCAGCCAACACCAAGCATTCATCGCAATGGCCGCCGCATGGGATTATGCAAACCAAGTTGCGGGTGGGCGGGTGCGATGATTGCGCGAACCGTGGAGTTTACAATTCGTTGCGAGCAGCAGCGAAGTGCACCACGTTGAGTGCACCACGCAGACTTGCACCACATGGATTGTATCACATAGGTTGCACCACGTCTATTGTACCGCGTAGATTGCACGACAGACATGCCATCACATCGATTGTACCGCATAGATTGCACCACGCCAATCGAATCACGTAGGTCGCACCACATACATTGATCCACATTCATTCTCTCTTCATGCAAAAATATAGACTCTACCCCCCCTTCAGGCGTTATCGGTCCCCCTTTTCGGGTACGTAAATCATGTATGATTCTGACCATATGTCCATCCGAAGTACGAATTTACACTAATCCCCGGGAGGGCGGTATCGACCTTCCTGAGGTTCCTTTGTGAAAAACGATTCGCGGGGACATCTTTTATTCTAACATAAGTTTTGTTCACGAATCCCTTGCAAACAATGGGACGAAGTGCACACGCGCGCGTCGTCGCGCGCGCATGCCGGAATCCTCCAAAAACTTCGGTGCCGGAGGGATTTCGCAATGGAGCTTCCCAAAAACATACAAAAACACACGGTTTCGCAACACTGGTTTGCTAAAAAAACTTACGCGCGAGCTCTTGCGAAATCTTCAAGAAAACATCGGTTTTTCAAGATTGTCACAGAATGCTACCAAACGGGTTTCGCGCGCATGTCGAAATCTGTCGAACGCCCTTGCGCGTGTGCCGTCGCGAGAATCCTCTGCAAAAAAAAATAAGACGAAGTGCTGACGCGCGCGTCGTCTCGCGCATATGCCGAAATTCTTAAAACCCATCGGGTTCGGAAGGGTTTCAACATCGTGTGTCAAAAAAAACCTACGAAAGCACACGGTCTCGCGACACGGATTTTCAACAAAAGCGTGCGCGCGCGTTCTTGCGTCGTCGTCGTCGTCGTCGCCGTCTTCCCTCCTCCCGCGTCGTCGTCGTCGTCGTCGTCGTCTTCGTCGTCTTCTGTCTTTCCTCGTGTTCGTCGTCGTCGTCCTCTTTGGCGTCGTGGTCGTTTCCGTCGTCGTTGTCGCCGTGGTCGTCCTTCCTCCTCCTTCGTCGTCGTCGTCCGTCGTCGGCGTCTCGTCGTCGTCCCTCCTATTTCGTCGCCGTCGTCATCGTCGTCGTTGTCATCGTCGTCGTCTTCCCTCCCTCGTCGTTGTCGTCGTCGGCGTCGCCGTCCTTCCTCCTTCTTCGTCGTTCGCGTCGTCGCCGTCCTCCCTCCTCCCTCGTCGTTGTCGTCGTTGTCGTCGTTGTCGCCGTCCTCGTCCTTCCTCCTCCCTCGTCGTCGTCTTCGTTGGCGCCGTCGTCGTCGTCGTCTTCGTCGTCGTCGTCGGCGTCAGCGTCGTCGTCGTCGTCGACGTCGTCGACGTCGGCGTCGTCGTCGTCGCCGCCGTCGTCGTCGTCGTTGTCGTCGTCGTCGGCGTCGTTGACGTCGCCGTCGTCATCGTCGTCGTTGTCGTCGTTGTCGTCTTCCCTCCTCCCTCGTCGTTGTCGTCGTCGGCGTCGCCGTCCTTCCTCCTTCTTCGTCGTTCGCGTCGTCGCCGTCCTCCCTCCTCCCTCGTCGTTGTCGTCCTTGTCGTCGTTGTCGCCGTCGTCGTCCTCCCTCCTCCCTCGTCGTCGTCTTCGTTGGCGCCGTCGTCGTCGTCGTCTTCGTCGTCGTCGTCGTCGGCGTCAGCGTCGTCGTCGTCTTCGTCGTCGTCGACGTCGGCGTCGTCGTCGTCGCCGCCGTCGTCGTCGTCGTTGTCGTCGTCGTCGGCGTCGTTGACGTCGTCGTCGTCTGATTCGTCGTTGTCGTCGGCGTCGTCATCGTCGTCGTCGTTGCCATCGTCGTCGTCGTCGGCGTCGGCGTCGTCGTCGGCGTCGTCGGTGTCGTCGTCGTCGTCGTTGTCGGCGTCGTCGAAGTCGTTGGAGACGCCGTCGGTGTCGTCGTAGTCGTTGTCGGTGGCGTCGTCGTCGTCGTTGTCACTGTCGTCGTCGGTGTCGCTGTCGTTGCCAAGTGCCATTTGGTACCCACCGTCACGGTCTTAAGAGATTTTGCAAACCAAGTTGCGGGTGGGTGGGTGGGATGTTTGCGCGAGCACTGGAGTAGACAGCTTCAAGACAGTCAAAGTGGATTGCACCACGTAGATCGCACCACATAGATATCTTTTCCTTTTGTGTTTGAAAAAAAGGTTCTACCACCCCCCCCCTCTGTGGTCAAAGATCCCTCGGGGACCAATGTAAAACACATAGGGTCCTGACCCAATGTCCATCGTACTTGTCAATTCATACTATCCCAGCCAGGCCGCTATCGACCCCCCCGCCATCCCCTGCAACAACTACGATGCGCGCGCACTCGCTTTTCATAAATCATGAGTTTTCAAACATCCCTTGCGAACAACGGGACGGAGTGCACACGCGCGCGTCGTCGCGCGCGCATGCCGACATCCTTCAAAAACCTTCAGTTTTGGAGGGGTTTTAAAATCGAGCTTCCAAAAAACATCCAACAGATAGATGGTTTCGCAACACTGGTTTTCTAAAAACGATTACGCGCGCGCTCTTGCGAAATCTCCAGGAAATCATACGTTCTTCATTTTTTTACAAAACAGAAGAATTACCAAACGGGCTTCGTGCGCGCGCATGTCGAAATCTTTCGAACGCCCTTGCGCGCGTGCCGTCACAAGAATCCTATGCAAAAAAATGACGAAGTGCACGCGCGCGCGTCGTCGCGCGCGCAAGCCGAAATCCTTCAAAAATCGTCGGTGTCGGAAGGAATTCAAAATTGAATGTCCAAAAAACATTCAAAACAAAGGGGGTTTCGCAACACGGATTTTCAGCAAAAGCGTGCGCGCGCGCTCTTGCGTCGTCGTCGTCGTCGTCGTCGTCGTCAGGTCCTCCCTCCTCCCTCGTCGTCGTCGTCGTCGCCGTCGTCGTCCTCTGTCTTTCCTCGTCGCTGTCGCCGTCGTCCGCTTTGGCGTCGTCGTTGTTTTCGTCGTCGTTGTCGCCGTGGTCGTCTTTCCTCCTCCCTCGTCGTCGTCGTCGTCGTCGTCCGTCGTCGACGTCTCGTCGTCGTCCCTCCTATCCGTAAGGGCTTCGCCCCATGCCGCCGGCCCCCTGTCTCGGATAATGGAAGATGCAAAGGCTAAATCATGAGGTAGGGGCGCCGCCGTGAAGCAGTGTCGGGACCTGTTTGTTTTTCTACCCTGTCCCTAGTGATCTGCGTCACGGGTGACACCGAATTTCAGAAATGCGGCAAATCCCTTGTGTCTTTGGACCCTGACCCTGCCGATCTGCATGAGGGGGGCCGCCGAATCTCAGAAATGGGGCAGATCCCCTGTGTTTTGGGATCCTGACCCTGCCGATCTGCTTGAGGGGTGTCACCGAATTTCAGAAATGTGTCAGATCCCCTGTGTTTTTGGATCCTGACCCCGCCGATCTGCATGAGGGGTGCCAGCAAATTGCAGAAATGTGGCAAATCCTGCGTGTTGTTGCACCCTGACCCCGCAGATCTGCGTGAGGGGCGCCACCGAATGTCAGAAATGTGGCAAATCTCTTGTGTTTTTGGACCCTGACCTCGCCGATCTGCGTGAACGGTGCTTTTTACCCACCCCAGCAATTCTGAGCACACGCTCAGGGCGTGGTAAAAATGCTCGTTTTGGGCCTCCCTCCCTCGCGCGGTCCATCAACAAGGAACAGTAAGCAAGAAAAAGCAGAATTGTAACAGTGGAAACTGGAAGCTGCAACTGGTAGAGGAAACTGCGAACCTTCGCCCTACAGCCTGGTGGCCCCACAAGGGGGCCGGCGGATTTCGCCGTCGTCATCGTCGTCGTCTTCCCTCCTCACTCGTCGTTGCCGTCGTCGGCGTCGCCGTCCTCCCTCCTTCTTCGTCGTTCGCGTCGTCGCCGTCCTCCCTCCTCCCTCGTCGTTGTCGTCGTTGTCGCCGTCGTCGTCCTCTCTCCTCACTCGTCGTCGTCGTCTTCGTTGGTGACGTCGTCGTCGTCGTCTTCGTCGTCGTCGGCGTCGTCGTCGTCGTTGGCGTCGTCGTCGTCGTCATCATCGGCGTTGTCATCGTCGTCGTCGTCGTCGGCAGCGTCGGCGTCGTCGTCGTCGTCGGTGTCACACAAACACACTCACACACGCTTCGCCAAGGCGCCTTGAGCCAGGACCCCCCAACGAAACATCAGCCCCCTTGTTGGTATTTACACATGCAAAGTCGATATGAAACAGTGAATTCAAGGGTTGAGTTCCTTCTGCGCGCGAAGCCGGCCCCGCCCAGAACGTTAAGTGGAGGCGCCTGGCAGAGATGATCCTCGTGTCAAGTCGGGCATATCCCTCTACAGGAGGGATATTCAAAAATAGTCGAAAACACGATGGGGACGTTTTTTGAATATTATTTTTCAGCATTTCGGGAGCTGTTTCATGTTTTTTTAGGGTTTTCACCCAAAATCCCCCTGTAGAGGGACACGCCTGACCTGACCCTAGTGGATCGCGAAAACCCACAAGCAAAGTCGATCCATCGGAGCCGCCGAGATAGATATCTGTGCCCCAGTCATTACGAGTGCGCGCGTTTCGTGTAATACTTTCCCGAGAACGAGCAGGAGAGGGACGAGCAGGGGGTGGAAGCTCGGCGTTTTGGGATGCAGCTACTGGGAGCGTAAGTTCAGCATCGGCGCTGATAGATCTGTGGTCGACAAGAAGCATCATCCCGTTTAGTTCCGCACGACCCTACTGGATTCGAAGCTTAATAATGGCTAACCTCCACTAGTGGTCTCGCACTCGAGCTTAACTCAGGCGATCGCAAACGTGGATCAAGGGGGCGTGGATTAGCGACGGGTCCCGTTTCCATGGGGAATCGCGGATTCCCGCCGCCGAGCGAGGCGGCACCTGCTGCATTTTGGGTAGGGCGTTTCCCCCGATCCGTGGATGTGGCGACTGCGCGCCAAATCCATAGATCGCTAATCCATGTTTGCGCATCCCCGAGGTAGGTGTTGCGCTATCCTCGGCCGCTAGGAGCCCTTACTGGGTCTCGGGACCGTCAGAAGACGACTCAGGAGGAAAAGCCAGTCCTGGGGCAAGGGTCCGGACCTCTGGGGGCTGCGTCATGAAAAATCAGAACGTCGGGGGTCTGGGAGAGTGGCCCTGTGAGGGGCAACGATTGCCTCGCCCCCGACTAACGGCCCTCAATCGTTCCCACGAAGATCTTCCAGGAGATGCCTTCCCCACCCGCCTTCCCTTCGCATCCATCCCCTCCCATCGCGTGCCGCCTGTCCCTGCAGTCCCTCCACCGTTTTCTCCCACCGTTCCCCGAACGACCATGCGTTCCTTCGTCGCCTCCTCTCTGCTTGGCTTCGCGGACCTGAGCCCTGAGTCGGGTTGACCCCAAAAGGGGGTCCAGCGCGGCAAGGGGGTGGTGCAATAGATTTGGTGCAATAGCTTTGCCGGGTTGCAATACATTGGGGGCGTGCAATACATTCCGGGGCGCAGATGTATTGCTGGATTTTCGCGTGCAACGCATGACTTGCAATACAATGCCATATAATTCTCTGGCGCAGTACACTTGCAATTCAATTGCTTCAAATCTATTGCACCACTCTTTCAGCTGGACCCCCTTTTAAAGTCACCCAAACTAGTGCGGCCAGACCCTGAACGGTAGTGGCCGCTTCCGAGGGATGCGAGCTGCAGTTTCCTCGCCTGGCCCACGCGGAGGACACGCAGCGGCTGCACGAGAGGAGCGGCAGTGCCAGGGGACAACGTCGGGGAGGGGGTAGGCTCGCAGAGGAGGAATCGGTACCCATACCGTTCTCGCTTTTCTCGCTTTGCACTTCGTTTGGGCCTGATGGAAGGCCCTCGTCGCCACCTCTGGATTCGCTTCGAAATCGCCTGGCTGAGAACGCACCCCGGGAGAGGTCTGGGGAGTAGCGGTGTGGGTACTTGTTGGTCCCCCCCAACGCTAGGGAGGGACGGCTCAGGGGGGAAGACACCGACCCCCATTCGCCCATGCATCGCCGATGGAGGCCCGATAGCCCCACCCTGCCCAGGAGCGTGCGGGTTCGCTATCGGGGCCCATCGCCGACGCATCGGCGATGTGTCGCCGGTTCCAGCACCATGTCTCCCCCTGTGAGCTGGTCCCCCCCCTCACGTTAAGTCGGGCCTGTCCATCTACAGGAGGAACATTCAAGGATTGTAGCAAAAAATGGGCTGTGGACGATGTTTTGATTATTTGTTTGACAATATCGGGAAATTGTTGGGGTACTTTTAATCTGTTGTCCAAAATCCGCCTCTCGGGAGACACTCCGACCTAACCCTAATGTCCCCCCTTGCAGTGGCAACGGAGTGGGCGGACGTGTCGAGAGCGACCGGCCTTCCCAAGGGCGGGCGTGTTGTTTGTTTCGGGCGCGTCGGCGCCCGCCAGGTCATACTGCAGACGCGCGAGAAGCTCATCATGGGCGACCGGGTCATGACCGAGGATCGTTGGTCGTGATGGGCTTGTTTTCCACCACCACCATAAGTTGGCGGGGGAGGGGGTCCTCCTCCTCCTCCTCCTCCTCCTCCTCCTCCTCCTCCTCCTCCTCCTCCTTCCCCCCTCCAACTCAATTATGGTGGTGGTGGTGGAAAACAGGACTATCAGGTCGGGGCGAGTGCGCACGGGGCACCCACATCGTTTCTCACTCGCAGGGGCGATCGGGGGGGGGGATTTTGGGGGGGGGTGCACCGACCCCCCATCGCCCATTGATCGCCGACGGGGCCCCGATAGCCCCAGCCTGCCCAGGACCGTGCGGATTCGCAACCGGGGGGCTGATCGCCGACCTATCGGCGAGGTGTCGCCGATTCCAGGTCGACGTTCCCCCTCCAATGCCAGTCCCCCTCCAATGCCAGTCCGTTACCCGCATAGATGGGGCGGGCACCCTTCCCACGGGTACCTTTGCATCCTCGCCTCCTCGGTCCATCCTTCGCCACTCTAGTTGGCTGCGCCCCGCTTGAAAAGCTTCGAAACGGCCTTCCAAGGCCCTTGCATCCTTATCGTGCGTCCTTATGAGACGGGCTGACTATCGTTGCACCTCACGCTCGTCCAGGGGAGGCGGAAGTTCGAGGGCCCCTCTCTCGTCGCTTCGCTGTCGTCGTCCCTCGCCTTCTGCCGCTCGTCCCGGGGCCGCACCGAGCAGGGCTGGCGCGCGGGCAGCGGCAGGAAGCGAGCGACAGCAGCAAGAAGCGCACGACGTGCTGTCGAAGAACAGAAAGCGGCACACGTAACCATAGATTTTCGACGGCCCGCGCGGATTTCTGTGTTCGGCGCTGGGGCCCCCCTGGCGCCGCCTCCGGCGCCGCCTCCGGCGCGCGCCGGGGAAGGGGGGGCCAGCGCAGATCCAAGAAGTCCGGGCGGACCTCAAACAGTTTCGCTTTATGACGCCTTTTGCTGCTCTAGTGTTGTGTTCATGCCTGGTGCGATCTTACTGATCTCAGTTGCCAGCGGCATTCTGCACACCACGCTGACAGCTGGGGCTGGTAAGGCAGCGAGTCTGCGCGCGAGACCGTCCTCGCGCATGGGCTATCACATGAGAGTGGCGCGGAGATGCCCACGAGAGGCGGGCGGTTGGAACGGCCGACTCCCGCCGTCGCCAGCGCCCGCGTGGCCGTCGACAGGGCACGCTCGGCCACGATCTTCGCTGCCGCCGTACCTGACTCAAGGAGGGTACGCCCGACCAGCCTGCGTCCAGGCCGGCGCCGCCATCTGTTCCGCCTCCCGCCGGGCCCGCCCGCGCGGGCGGCGCGATGTCTTCGGATGGGCGGAAGGAGCACCGGCAGAAGATACAGAGGATGCTGGCCGCGAGGGACCAGGCCCAGAAGTTCAAGGACGACCTGGCCGCGCAGGACAAGATCAAGAAGGCGGCCCAGGCCAAGGCGGCCGCCATCGAGGCGAAGCGGAAGGAGGCCGCAGACAAGCTCCTGGCGGAGAAGTTGGCGCAGGCGGCCCGGCCACGGAAGGTGCTGGTCTGCGGCGACGCCAGGGGCGGTCTCGCGAAGCTGGCCGCGACGGTGGAGGCGCAGGCGAGCAAGGCTTCGGAGAGGACGAATCTCAGGAGGGAGAGAACACACATACAGAGACAGTGAATCCTCGATCCCCCGGAACATATGGGAAACGGTGGGAAGTGGGGAGAATGTCGGAAAGCAATGAGATATAGGAAAAGATGTGGTATCTTGGGAGTTGTGTGTACTTATTTGTTTGTCCCTGGGCCCCTTCAAGATCGGCGGCGTGCCTTGGGAGGGAAGGTGCCTAGTGGATGCGCCTTATCCTGCGGTGGCGCGACTGGGCCCACAGAAGCTCTGACTTAATGTGGGGCCCTCAAAGATCGACGAAGCGCATGCTTCCAGGCTTCGTATGACAAGATGGAAGGCGCCCAGGGACACACACACACACACACACACACACACAAAAAAATGCACACAAATCCAAGGATTCCTTCTTTGTTCACATGTTCTGGAGTGTCGTCTTCCCCCACCATTTCCCATGTTTCCCCATCTCTTCATGGGAGTGGACGGTTTTTTGTGTATGTGTTTTCCCCGTCCTGGAAGACCGGACGGTGTTGCCATCGTATGTGTCTACAGTCGAGCATCTGATTAAGAAACCTCCTCCCAAAAAGCTGGCACGTTTCGTAACCAACTTGCCGGAAAGCCGGCTCAGTTTCTTCAGGGGATTGGCAACCTTGGATCCTAGAAATGAATCGTGTACGCTCCTGGCTCCAAAAGCTGGGCCAGCGTTTCCTTAAGACACTTCTGAAAAGCTGGCCCAGCTCCCTTCGTTCAGAATGTTCTTAATGATATGTTTGAATTGTACTTGAGCAGCAGGCGAGGGGGGGGGAAGTGAGCAGGAGCACGGCCTCCTCGGAAGGCGGCGGGGCCTCTCAGGAAGCCATCCGGCCTGCCTCGGGGGGAGGCCTGGGTCCTCTCGCAGCAGGGCAGAGGCCTACCGTCAACCCGCATGGTAGGGATGGGCACCCTCCCCCAGGGTACCCCTTGCATCCTTGCCCCTTCGGCCCATCCTTGGCCACTTTCGCTGGCCGCGCCCCTCTCGAAGAGCTTCGAAGTGGCCTTCCAAGGCCCTTGAGCATCCGTATCGTGCGTCCCTCTCATACGGGCTGCCTGTGCCGAGCCTTCTGACAAGGCCTGCCCCTTCTCGCTTCCCCCCGGGCGCGACGCAGGAAGGCAGAGCCTTGTTGTTGCTGTGCTCACCCTCTTGCAGGTCAAGCTCATTGCCCGGGCCAGCCCCCTTCCAGGTACCGGTGCTCCCAGGTATATTGCGGCTCTCACGTGCTACCGTGGCGCATGCCCACTTAGTTGTGGTGCTCGAGCACGCGTTGCGCTGCTCGATCTTCGGCGATTATGACAGGGTCCGGCGTGCTGTTGTGCATGCGCGTGGTGCTCGCAGGCGTTGTGGTGTTCGCGGGCACGTTGTTGCGTTCGCAGGTGTGATGTTGGAGGGGAAAGAGATGGAGAAGGACGGCGACGACGCAGACGAACGAGGGAGTTAAGGAACAGCGCGTCTGAAGTAAGGGTCCGACACGCACAAGCCACTGCAAGCGCGGCGGTGGTTTCTATTCTGTCGCCGACGCGGCTGCCGCCGCCGCCACCACCGTCGTCAACCTCGTCGTTCGTCGTCGTGGACGCCGCTGCCGTCGCTGCCGCCCCCGCCGTCGTCGTCGTCGTCGTCGTCGTCATCGTCGTCGGCGACGTCGTCGTCGGCATCATCGTCGTCGTCGTCCTCAGTCGTCGTCCTTAGTCGTCGTCTGTCGTCGTCGGCGTTGTCGTTGTTGTCGTCGTCGTCGTCGTCGCCTTCCGTCGTCGTCCGTCGTCTTCTTCGTCCTCGTCCTCGTCGGCCGCCCAGCTCACCACCGCCGTCTGGATGCTCTTTGCATTCATGTCTGGACCGTTCCTCGCTCCATCGTCGGGGAAGCCGCTGATGGTCGGAGCCTTCCGCTGCCACGGAAAATAACTTCGTCCCTTGTGTGAGGTTCTTTGTGGCTAGGCTAGCCTCGCAGCCTTCGCCTGGGGGAGAAGGGGGGGATGGGGGGGGGATGGGGGGGAGTTGGAGGAGGAGGAGGAGGAGGAGGAGGAGGAGGATGGGGGAAGAGGAGGTCGAGGAGCATGAGCAGGAGAGGGGAGGAGGAGGAGGAGGGAGGAGGGGGGAAGAGGCGGTTGTCGAGGAGCAGGAGCAGGAGCAGGAGCAGAAGGAGGAGGAGGAGGAGGAGGAGGAGGAGGAGGAGGTCGAGGAGCAAGAGCAGGAGGAGGAGGAGGAGGAGGAAGAGGCGGAGAACGAGGAGGAGGAGGAGGAAGAAGAAGATGAGGAGGAGAATGAGGAGGAGGAGGATGAGGGGGAGGAAGAGCACGACGACGACGATACGACGATTCCGATGACGACGCCAGACGACGACGACGACCATGACGACGAAGACGAAGACGACGACGATGACGACGACGACTCTGACAGCGACTCCGACGCTGACGGCGACAACGACGATTCCGATGACGAATCTGACGACGACGACGACGCCGACGGCTCCAAAGACGACGGCTTTGACGGCGATTCTGGCGTTGACGACGACGACGACGAACTGTCGAAATCGGTTGTCGCAGTCGTACAAGTGTCGCCCGCAGGCCATTGCGGTGCTGGCATGTGCCTCGCCTGTGCTGTCAGGCCTTGCGCGCGTGATGGCATCGCAGGCCACTGTTGTGCTCGCAGGCATCGAGTGCTACTCGGGCGCGCACTATGGCGATCGCAGCGCGCCCCCACCCAGACGAACCCCACCCCGCCCAAGCGTTACCGTTACCTGGGGCCCAGAACCCCCCCACCCGTCGGATATCGACCGTTATCCGCCAGCATCAAAAGCGAATTCCAGTATCAACATACATTTCCAGAGGTCCGCGCGGATTCTTTGGATCTGCGCTGGGCCGCCCTGGCTTCTTGGCGCAATTTCATGTGGGGCGATGGACGGGGGGTGGGAAGACAGGTGCCCTCGTCGTCGACCCAGAATGGCCCCGTGCTGGGCCCGAAAGGGCCACTTCAGGGGCCCCAGAGGGCCCCTTTCGGCAGCCCTCGCTGCCCCCCCGTCAAGCGCCCCCTTATTACGCGTCCTCCGAGGCTCGCGGCGCCTCCATCGCCCCTGGCGCGCTCCGCGCGCCCGGGCGGGGGGTCCTGCGCCGATCCGCAAAGTCCTCGCGGAGATCCGAGTCCTGCTGCTTACTCGAAGGCACGACCTTGGGTTCGGGCCCGCTGGGGCCCCCCGAGCGCCGAACGCGACGTGGTAATGGCGTCTTGCGCGCTTGGGTTTGGCCCCCCGCGTCTGCCCGAAAGCAGCGCACCAAAGGAGGAGGAGGAGGAGGAGGAGGAGGACGAGGAGGAGGAGGAGGAGGAGGAGGAGGAGGAGGAGGAGGAGGAGAGGAGGAGAGGAGGAGAGAGGAACGAGGACGAGAGAGGAGAGATGAGGACCCAGGGTCACTCTTACCTGTCGCCGATTTACGCCGCTTCCGCTTCCTCCGAGGTCGGGGCCTTCGACCTGGTCCTCTGCGTCGGGTCCTTCTTCGCAGAGGCCGCGGGGGTGGACGAGGCTGCCGCGGCCTTCCTGCGGGGGGAGAGCCGGCTACCCACGAGGGTGCACTTTATCGACACCGGCGCGGCGTTGCTGCACGCCTCGCCGGGCGGGCGGCAGCTGTGCGAGAACCTGCACTTCCTCGGCGGGTACGGCATCCGGGAGGTCTGCGGCCTCCGGGTGGCGTTCCTCTCGGGGGTGTACGACCCGACCAGGCCACGGGCATTGACGAAGCGTACGGGCTCGCTGATAGGCCTACCGAACAAGGAGTTCAGAACCTTTTTTGGTTTGGGCGAAGATCTGGCTGATACCGTCGTTTGTTGAACCCATTCGCTTTACGCTCTAAGAGCTCTGCTTCTGTTATGTGAGCAGGACTTTCTGATGCGAACTATGCGTGTTATGCTTACAGGGATGCCAGGGCGGTCGGTCCTTGCTCAACATGTCAGGGTACATTACGATCCGATCGATCCGATTCGATGTCGGTCTTGGGCCAGCCCGATCCGATTCGATTTTGACGTTCTGGCGATCCGATGCGGCCCGGTGCGTGCATGGCGCTGTTGTGCATCCTGGCGCAGTCCATCCGACTCGATTCCGGATCCATGACGATGCGGCCGATTCGGCGTGCATTCCGATCCGATCATATTTCCTTCGATGGTGACTGGTCCTGCCAGGTACGACAGGAGTGACGTGGACTTTGTCGGCGGTGCTTTTACGCGCCGCGCCGTCTCTGAGCTGATGAGGGTCGCCAGCGAGGAGATCAGGGGCAACGTCAGGGACCCGATAGCCCACCCCGCCAAAGACCGTGCGGAGTCCCTATCGGGGGCTATCGCCGATCTAACTGAGAAGTGTCGCCGATTCCAGCTCGATGTTCCCCCTCCCCCTTCTGAGCTGACTCCCCCACCCCACCGCACGGTTTTCTCGGATCGGCGTTGGGCCCCCCTGGCGGCGCCTCCGATGCAGCCCCTGGCGCGCTCCGCGCGCCAGGGAGGCAGGCTCCGTGCAGATCCGAGACTTCTCGCGCGGGGCTCCGAAAGTCGATGTCTATGCAGATGTCTGGTCGTCCACACTCGGGAGGAATCGGTAGCAAACCATCGGAGCCGTCTTCAGCGTCGATTAGCGTCGATTGCCGTCTGCGAGTCGATGAGATAGCGTCGATTGCGCGTCGATTAGCGTCGACTAGCGTCGATTAGCGTCGATTCGCAAGAGCCGGCAAGAGGGTCTGGGAGGCTCTCGTGAGTTGCCACCGAAGGAGAAGCACGGCGTCGACATCCTGCTGACGTCTGGCTGGCCCGCGGACCTGGACCTCAAGGTCGGCGACGAGTCGCTGCGGCCCGCCGTGCTAGGCGACGGGGCACACTGGCGGTTGTCCGCCGCCCCGCCCCTGGCGGACCTGTGCTTCGCGCTGGAGCCGCGCGGCCCTTGGCTGCCGCGATGCGCTCGGCGGGGCCGCCTGCGATCCGATGCGGTGCGCTTCTCGAGGGAGGAGAAGTCTGGAGAGGAGGAGCAGATACCCCGTGCCTCTGCCTTTCCTCCGTTTTTTTTTCCCCTGTCTGGGGCTCCTGGGAGGCCCAGGCCGCCACCGCTGGGTTCACCTCGAGATTCTGGTCAGAGCGCACCCAGGAAGAGGTCCGGGGAGTACACCTTAGGCGATGCTTAAGAAAACCCAAGTTTTCGGCCAGAGTCTCGATCATTCTTAACGTTTCAATGTAAATCTTAAGATTTTAATGGGAATGTGGGGTTTTTATTCAAGTTCTGAGACTTTGAATTTCTTAACCCATGATTTCTTAAGCATTTCGCAGGGTGTAGTGGTATCAGTATCTTTTTGTTTCCCGAGATCGGGACGACCGAAATGGATACGGGAGAAATGGGCACGAAGACCGACCGCACTGCTTGTTTCTGTTGAGCACGGCTCGCTGTCGGCGTCGCCGCGGACGTGGTCCATTGGAGAAAGGGGCCACCGATTTCTTCCGTACCCAATTCGGGGGTCCGAAAGATAGGGCCCCATACCGCAACCTTGGCTCCGTTTTCGCGTTTTTGGGGGCCGCCCGGTGGGGGCCCCACCTTTGTTGGACCCTCGCGCTGCATTGGCATGCCTTGCGCATGGTAATCCGAGGCCCGGCGAGGCACGCGCCCTTGCTTGATCCAGCCCGACGTTTTTTGTGCGGTCGCGTGCGTTTTCACACAGTTTGCCAATGCGCCGTCGAGGCGCTGCGTCTTTCGTTCGTTCGGTCGGGGCCCGCCGCCGCCGCTGATTTTCGCCTCGAAAGGCTGGTCCGAGCATGCCCCGGGAGCGAGGTCCGTGGAGTGGCGGTTATTGGTACCTTTTTGGGGTTTTGCCAGATTCGACTCTTCGTTCGCAGCACATCATGGGATCACCTTGGCTTATTCTGCAGAGCCGGATTTTTCTGGCCTCCGCGCCTTTTGTCGTTGAGCCGGCCGCAGCATCGCCGCGGCAAATGGGAGAACATGTTAAATAGGGACTCGTGCTTGAAAGAAATATATGAGGCCCCATGAGAGCCCGCGCGGCCCATGAGGGTACACCAAACTCCCATGATGGGAATTTGGTGTACCCTTGTAATTCCGTGTTTAGCGTCGACTGGCGCTTGGGAGTCGATGAGGTGTGCCAATGTTACGTCGGCTAGCGTCGATTAGCGCCGACTCAGCGTCGATGTAACGTCGATGAGCGCCGACCAGCGTCGATTAGCGTCGATTCGCAAGAGCCGACAAGATGGTACGGGAGTCTTCCATCCGTTGCCACCGAAGACTCGATCCGATTCGGGTCGTTTCAGCGGCACCGGCCGGGGGCCAGCCAGAGCCAGGCGCGGCGACTCGACTTCGGGGCGGTTCGCTGGCGATTCGATCCGTTTTCGATCCGATCCGATTTCGCCATTTGATCCAGCTCAGACCTGCCCATGCTGAGACGCAACAAGTAACTACCGTGTACAACACGTCCTGGTCGAACGCTTTGCGTGTAGGCTCTACCCATCTCGTGGAAAAGGCCATTGCAGAAACATAACATTGGGCGCTCTGCGTGGATATCTTGGATCTGCGCTCGCCCCCCCCCTTGGCAGAGCCTCTGGCGCCGCCCGTGGCGCGTTCCGCACGCCAGGCAGGGGGATCCAGCGCCGATCCAAAAAATAAGCGCCGATCTTCAATATAGAATGTTAATGCAATTGTTCTGCTCCTCCATCCGCACGGTCGGGGGACTCCAAATGGTGCGGTGACCACACCACATGGTGAGTCAGTGGGGACTCGGGGTTGCCGCGCACTTTCGGTGCTCGGGTTGTTCGTCGAGAATGCCTCGGGGGGTCCCAGAACCGTGTGTTGACGGACCGTGCGGTAAGAGCATGGGGGAGTCTGAGGTCACCGCACCGTCTGTCACGGCGCCGTCTTGGGATCCCCGGCACGCGTTGGCCCACGTTTGGGCGACCCCGTAACGCGCCCAGAACACCTACGTTTAAGTCGAACAGATCCCTTTACAGGAGGAATATTCAGAAGTAGTCGAACAGTAGTCTGGGGACGATTAGTCGGTTGTTTTTGAATATCTTTGAATATTTTTAGGAGTAGTTTTAATTTTTCCTCCCAAATCTGCCTGTAGGAGGACATGCCCGACCTAAGCCTACGATTTCTGTCAACGCGTTTAGATCCGTGCCCGCGCGTTCCAGGTGGTTTGCTGCGGACGTGCCAGAAGCTAACAGAAGGACCAGCTTGGACTTAGGGTAGGTACTGGCTTTCGGGACATTCTCCGTGGTAGATCTGGGTCGAGGAAATTGTTCGTATCTGAGCCTTGCCACGGCCAGAAAAGCCCCTTCCATTCTTACTCGGCGTTCCTTACGGAGCACGATTCGGCATCGGCGTCACCCTAACATACCAATATTGTGTGTGCGTCGCCCCCCCAGGGGCGACGCGCGCACCGAGAAATCTCACAGTAGATGTAACGTGGCGGGCGCTTTCTGGCAGCACCGCTCGGGAAACGATGTATTACAAAGATGGGCATACGATAATGCTCCCGTCGGCTGCGCGCCTCCAAGGAGGACGTTGCAGTACGAGGATGTCTCCGTGCGTCCCGCTTCTTACGGGGGCACGATGCGGCATCTCGCGGCATCCTAGGCGGTACCACGTGTTCGGGGCGGCCGACCTGTTCTACCAGCGGCCGCCCTTCCAGGTCCCGCGGCTCGAGCACGTGTGCCGGTGCATTGGCCTCGGCAGCGTGGGCGGCGCGGGCAAGCAGCGGAAGTGGCTGCACGCGCTCTCGCTCAGCCCCATGAGGTTGGGGCGGCGCGCCCCAAGTTCGGTATTGTTGCACCGATCCCCATCCCCATCCCCATCCCCCTCGAGACCCCCACCGAATTACCACCCCAGTTGGGGATACATCCCTCGAAACCCGAAGGGAACGGCCTATATCCCCATCTAGGGGGTAAATCGGCCAGTGGGGCCCAGGCCACGCCGCTGGGGATGGGGAGCGGTTAAACGATACTCACAAGTGGCGGCGCCCATAATGCAAGGGAGGAAAAACCACCCGGACCCCGTCATTGGCGTTTGCTAAACGGACCTTCTGTTTTTTTTTCTTTCAGCCTTGCCCTGTTCGATTCCTCGTGTGGGTGCGTTTACCAGACGGCTTCGCGTGACGGGGTGATCATCATGATCACCCCGTCACGTCCGCCTGGGCGGCTCACTAAGAAGGCTTAGGGGCTTCTTGGAAGGCAGCGGCCTTGTGAGAATACCTCGCGCGCCTCCCAGGAGGCTTCTCAAAGGCCGCGCGGGCTTTTGCGACGACTGCCTTTCTAGAAGCCCCGCCGCCCTCTTCGGAGCCCCGCCGCCCTCTCCGGAGCCCCCCCATCCATCTCGCGCTCCCCCCCCTCCTTGCGGGCGCCGCCAGAGCAAGTGGCTTGGCGCGGGGGAGGCGACCTCTCCGTTGGCGGGGTATGTTGGCTTCGTCTTAGGGTATGGGCTCAGGGGGTACGCACCCCCGATCGTCCACTCATCACTGATAGGGGCCCGATAGCCTACCCCGTCCGGGGACGTGCAAATTCGTTATCGGGGACCTATCGCCGATCTAACGGCGGTGTATCGGCGATTCCAGCTTGCTGTTCCCCCCATGAACCCCCTCAGTAGCGCTGCCCTCATTCTAAGAAGGCGGGTGAGGAGGAGGAGGAGGAGGAGGAGGAGGAGGAGGAGGAGGAGGAGGAGGGGCTTCTAAGAAGGCGGACTGGCCTCTTGGAAGCCGCGCCAGCTTCTGAGAAGCCCTGTTGGAAGCCCCCAGTCCCTTCCCAGAAGGTCCTCGCCTCCCAAGTGAGAGGCTACCCGCCGTTGCCAGAAGGCCACCCCACTCGCGCCACCTCCCTGTGCGCGCCCCACAGAGGTACATTTAAGTAGGGCGTGTCCCTCTAAAGGAAGAATATCAAAGGATAGTAAAAACTAGTCAGGGGACATGTTTTGACTAGTTCTGAGCATTTTGATTGTATTTTTGAAGCTTTCTTAAACAACTCGTTCGCCCCAAATCCCCGCTGTAAAGAGACAGGCCCGACCTAAAGGTACATGAAGAAGGACGACCTCAGGCTCCTTCCGACGAACACCACCCCGAACCCGTTCGTGGGGCGCCCGAAGCCGGAGGCCGCGCAGGGCGAGCCCACCGGCAAGAGGATGCGCGTGCGGGGTCTCCGGCGCACCACTGCCGCGCCAGGCCAATCCCGGGGCCCCAGGATGGCCCCGGCAGGGCTGTGCTCCCGGACGGCCCGCGTCGAGAGAAAGTAACCCAGAGATCCGACGCGCCAGCAAAAATCGGAGCGGCCGTTGTTGGACGTTTCCGGCCTCGGGGCCTCGGGACCATCGAACAACGATTCAGAACCAGAAGCTTGCCACGCTTGGATCACCGCGGTTGCTGAGTAGACAGGGGGCTAGAAGTGGATGCGAAGTTGGGGCAGATCTGTCCCAATCTAGCTCATACGCGAGTTAAGTGGCTTAGGGGGGTAAGAATCCAGGCTAAGGGTGTCCTGCCCACTTATCTGTCCAGCAGTGGCGAATCGTCCTGGCGTGCCTATAGGCCTACCAAACAATGTTCTAAGAACTTTTTGTGGTTTCCACGAAATGTTCTCAGAACATTTCTGGCCAGGACTGTCTTGTTTTAACGCATCGGGTTTATTTTCTAAGAACATTGTTTTGGCTCTTAGAGCATTTGGGGATTCGAAGAAAAATTCGTGGTAGGCCTATAGGAATGCCGGGACGGCCGGTCCCTGCTCAAATCTGAGCTGGCGAACCCAATCAAGCACTTTGGGGCATTCTTTATTCTTTTTTGAGCTAGGCTAGGCCAGGCACAAGCCACCTTCAGCATCCACTTATTATAGCCCCCTTACCCGCTTAGCATTAAGTCGGGCCTGTCCCTCTAGAGGGAGACTGTTCAAAAGTAGTTTAAAAATAGTCGGATGACAATTTTGTGAGCATGTTTGATCATGTTGGGGGCATGTTTTGTGTATTTTCATGTTTCGTCCAAAATCCGCCTGTAGGAGGACACGCCCGACCTAAGCTTAGCAACCTCTGCGGTGATGCAAGTAAGGAAGTGGTCTGGACCTCCGGGGCCCGCGCATGAAAAAATTGTAGCGGCCGGATGCTTGGGAACGACGGACGGGGTCAGGATCTAGGACGAGGATATGAATCCGCTCCAGAGCGGTCCGGAACGCTCTCAGAGCGTCCCGGAACGCTCTGGGAAGACCGCGGCGCCCGAGACATTTTTCAGAGCCAGATCTCAGAGACTCTCTCGGTTCATCCTCACCCGATTTTATCCTCGTCCTGGCCTCGTCTTTTGGGAACGGACGTTGCGCCGTCTGTTCGGCTCCCTTGGAGGGCCCACGCGGCCGTCTACAGGGGCAGCTCGGGGCGAGGGTCCTGCCCAAAGGGGGCACAACTCTTTCGGGGCTTCGGGGGCCCCAGCTTGGACACAAATTGTAAGTCGGGCCTGTCCCTCTACAGGAGGGGTATTCAAAAATAGTCGAGACATAGTCAGGGGACGATGTTTTGAATATTTTTGACAATTTGGGGGTATTTGTTTTTTTTTGTTGTTTGGCTCGTCCAAAATCCGCCTGTAGGGAACATGCCCGACCGAAACATAAATCGAGGCATCGGCTGTCTGGGTTCGGCTCGATCGATCCGGCTACAGTGGAAGCCCATGCCAAGAAGCACCTTGCCCGCCTCCAGGGTGCCATGGGTTTTTTGGGGTGTCGATGGTTTTGCTATGGAAAGCGTGACGTTCCCACAGCAGAACTCAAAGGACGTCATGATGTCTCAGGGTTGGGTTCCTTGTGGAAGGTTTTTTTGTGGTCAAGTTCCTACTGTACCGATGCCTGCCAGCCCAGCCTGGCAGCGATCCGATACCGCTTGGTGTTTGCATGACGCCTTTCTGCCAATACGATTCGGTTCCGATTCCATGCCGAGGCGACCCGATCCGACGCACCTTCCGATCCAATCTGGTGTCCTGTTTCGATGCTGGTTGATCTTGCCATCCTCGGCCAGGGGCATCCCAGGAGGCCCCCGATGTCGCGACGTCGACCCCCAGAGATCTCGACCTTTTGCCCTGGGACCGACTTTTCTTCCCGAGTCGTTTCTTTCGTCGGCCCCAGGGCCCAACAAGAGCCCCGCAACCGCCAGCCATTATGTTTCCACGACGCGAGGAGGTCCTCAGAGATCTGATGTCTTGATTTCGGTTCCATACGCGGCCCCGGGAAGTCCCAACCATTTCTTTTTGGGGCCGCTTGTTTATGTCAACATTTTTTCAACGATCCGGAGGCATCGCGAGGGCCCGGCGAGGCCGAATGTGAGAAAGATGTCAGTTTTGAGTATTTCAATGCGTTGGAGGTTTGGGTGTGGGGATTGCCTTGGCCAGGCATGCTTGTGAAGCATACACTTGAATCACCGCGGCGGCTGCAAAGCAGATGGATGGCTAGACGCCGTTGCCAAGGTGGGTTGAGTCTGTCCCAACCTGGCTTCGAAGTTCTGCGAGTGGCAGGAACCCACCCTGCCATAGACGTTACCCCCCCGTGCCCCCCGAGCGACTCCCGCGGTGATCCACGTAAGACTTCTTGATTCCTTCCATGCGTTGGGGGCCTGGGCCTGGAGATGGCCCTGGCCGGGCGTGGTGGCGACGTGCCTTGTATGCCCCCCTGCCGCAGAGGAAGCTTCCGGAGGCCGACGACGATGCCGAGCTGCCCGAGCGGGCCGTGAGCGCGTTGCTGGCCGGCGAGGCCCAGGAGCATCGAGGCCAAACGAACCCTTCGCCCGAATAACACGATGAATAACGTAGCCTTCTTTAAGTCCCCTTCTTCGCATTAGGGATTCCAGACATCCATCCTCCTCTTCCTCCTCCCCTCCTCTTCCTCCTGCCCCTCCTCCTCCTGCTCCTCCTCCTCCTCCTCCTCCTCCTCCTCCTCCTCCTCCTCCTCCTCCTCCTCCTCCTCCTCCTCCCCCCTAACCGCTCCCAAAGGGTTATGTGGGGTACTTTTGCTACTTCTCGCAGGAATGCCGGAGTCTGCTCGGCAGACTTGCGGACCGCGGGCTCCTCGGGGGCGGGGAGGTGTAGGCATCCTAGAGGGGTTCCGAGCAGCTGGGGTCGGAGGAGGAGGAGGAGGCGGAGGAGGAGGAGGAGGAGGCGGAGGCGGAGGCGGAGGCGGAGGAGGAGGAGGAGGAGGAGGAGGAGGAGGAGGAGGAGGAGGGAGGAGAGGGAGGACGAGGGAGGAGCGGGAGGGGGAGCGGGAGTGGGAAGGGGAGGGGGAGGGAGGGGGGAGGGCGGGGAGGAGGAGGAGGAGGGAGGAGGAGGAGGAGGGCAGGGAGGAGACGAGGAGGAGGAGGAGGAGGAGGCGGTGGAAGAGGAGGAGGAGGAGGAGGGGAAGATAGGAGACGAGGAGGAGAAGGAGGAGGAGGAGGAGGAGAAGGAGGAAGAGGAGGAGAAGGAGGAGGAGGCCGCCTGGCCGATGCATCGGCGATGCGGCTTCATGTGGGCCCCGTTTTTCTCCACGCCGACGTCGCCGATGAATCGCCGACGTCGCCAGTGTTTGGCCGATGCTTCGGCGATGCAGCGGCGATGCAGCGGCGATGCGGCGCGACCCCATCTACTCCGACCCCATCTGGGAGGACTCCGAGGGAGAGCGTGGATTTTTTGGAGCGAGTGAAGGACGTACACGCACACGAGTCCACGCTGGTTTTGACGGTGCGCGTTGCGCAAACGTTCGTATCACGAAGCTAGTCTCGCGGACTTGGGGGCCGTGCAGTCAACCCGCATGGTAAGGATGGGCAATTTTCCCAAGGGTACCCTTGAATCCTTGCCTCCTCGGTCCATCCTTGGCCACTTTCGTTGGCAACGCCCCGCTCGAGAAGCTTCGACATGGCCTTCCAAGGCCCTTGCATCCTTATCGCTCATCCTTATGATACGGGCTAACTGTATTCATGCACATGGTTGGGCGCGCACGTCTTTGGTGTGTCCCAAAATTTGTACCGGGGAGTAGCAGATGGCACATGCAGAAGCGTTCGACTGTCCGCGCTGATCTCTCTTGGGTCGGCGCAGAGGGCTGCCTTGGGGTGAGGGGTCCCGCGCCGACCCTGGCGCGCTCCGTGCGCCAGGTGCCAGGGAGGGGGAGGCGGGGCAGCGTCGATCTAGGAAGTCCTCGCGGACCTCCGACAGCTTATACATGTTTATGCAGTGATTTGTCCCCCGAGGGCATTGAACGTAGAGCCGGCTGGGGGGTGGAGGTGGCCCAGCCCTGAGATCTTGGCGTAGCAGTGTTTTCACACAGCGGGCGATTCTGCCTGGCGGTTCGGGCCCCGGCAACAGTACAGATCGATACGGGTTGAGACATGCCGCAGAAAGATTGGGTCTAGGGCTCCTGTCGTGATATTTCGCGCTGTTGCATTTTCGTCTCGACCATCCTGTGGTGTTGGGTTTTCTGTTTGAAGAGACAGCACCCTGCGTTCCTCCTTCCTCCTTCCGCTGCACCCTCCCTCCTCCCACCATCCTTGCCTCTGCCCTCCGCATGTTTGTTTTTCGGCACACCTAGTGCAATGCTGCGTGGCCCCGTAGGGGACTCCACCGAAGGCCCCAGTGGCAGGGTCCACCTGGCGGCGCCGCCACATGTTGGCGCAACCCTCACACGGTTCGTGGCCCAACATGCAGATCAGCCGAAGGCCCCAGTGGCAGGGTCCAAATGGTTGCGCCGCCCAATTTTCGCGCACCCCTCACTCGGTTCGTGGCCCCGTGGGGAGCTCCACCGAAGGCCCCAGAGGCAGGGTCCACATGATTGCGCCGCCCCATTTTGGCGCACCCGGTCACGGTTCGAGGCCCCATAGCGAAGGTTCCAGTGGCGGGGTTCGCATGGCGGTGCCGCCCCGTTTTGGCATACCCCTCATACGATACGTAGCCCCACAGGGAGCTCCACGGAAAGCGGTGCCACAATACGGTGTTCACAACTGCATTCGGTTGGGTTCTTCGTCATGATGATTTGGCCACGTTGGATCTCAGGGAGTACTGGTTCCAGCCAGCAGGACGGGAGGAGAAAGGGGCCCCCTCTCCGCCACGGCTGGACGGGACTCGAAAGAATTGTCCGTGTACCCGAGCGTGGTCCAGGGACCGATCTGGAACGGATTTGCAGTCGTCTCCGTTCTCTGGTTGAGTTCGGCGTCCCGGGGCCGCAATCGGGCCTGCGCACTGTCAAACACGGGGAAGGGCGACGCATTTGCCCCAGGGACGGGGCAAAAGGCCAGGGAGCGCAGCAGTCAGGTCGTCGGAGACCTGGGAGCGCATCCGTTGGACGCTGGGGGAACCACCTCCTCCTCCTCCTCCTCCTCCTCCTCCTCCTCCTCCTCCTCCTCCTCCTCCTCCTCCTCCTCCTCCAGCACACGCGTCCTGAGCACCAGGAGGGCCCGTGGGAGAAGAGTCGCCCGGGAGGGCCGCCGGAGCCCCGACCGGCAGGAGGCGGCACAGATGGGGTCCGAGCGCACGTGGTCGGTGGATCGCGGCGCGTCGCCGATGCATCGGCGGTGCCTCGGCGACGTCGGCGATGCAGCGGCGTCTTCGGGGTGGAGAGGGCCCGAGCCCACGACAGCAGCTGCGACGTCGACGAGGGCTTTCCGGGAGGCCCGAGCAGGCGAAGACGAGGGAGACGAGCAGCTGGAGGCGCGCATGCACTCGTGCATTCGTGCATGCATCGATGGCCTGAACGTGTTGAGCGAGCCGTAGTCACCCAGGCTCGAGTCTAGAATTAAGTCGGGCATGTCCCTCTACAGGGGGAATATTCAAAAATAGTCCAAACATAGTCTGGGGACCATCTTTGGTTTCACTGTGCTTGATCATGTTTGGGGCCTGTTTGGGGTGTGCTCTCTTTGTCGTCCAAGCCCGACCTGAGCCTAGAAGTCGCTGGACACGTCCCGGAGGCAGGCGGAACAGCACGCGCAATCGTGCAACCACGGCCGGGGAGCCCTCCGGCCTCGCCGTGGCGGGGTCGCGCCGCGGAGCGCGGAGGACGCGAGGGTTCGGCTGCGGACAGTTGCACCAGAGGGGGCGGAGGAGGAGGAGGCGGAGGAGGAGGAGGAGGAGGAGGAGGAGGAGGAGGAGGAGGAGGAGGAGGAGGGGGAGGGAGGAGACAAGGAGGAGGAGCAGGAGGAGGAGCAGTAGGCGGAGGAGGAGGAAGAAGAGGAGGAGGAGGAGGAGGAGGCGGAGGAGGCGGAGGAGGCGGAGGAGGCGGAGGAGGCGGAGGACGAGGGAAAAGAGACGGAGGAGGCAGGCGAGGGTCCCCGCCGTAGGGCTGGCGGGCACCTACCAGTGATGTCTGCCGGCAGGGAGAGAGGCCGTTGCGCCTTCCACCATGGCGAGTGTGACCACTTGCCGCACGACCCCGCTCCACGGGAAAAAACACCCGGGATCCCTACTGGCAGGGAGAGATACCGTTGCTACTTCCGCCATGGCGAGTGTGACCACCTGCCGCACGGCCCCGCTCCACGAGAAGAACCACCGCCGCGGAAGGCTCAAACCTCCCCCACGCTCGGTGGAACACCCCCCAGGCGGCCCCAGTCCAACGCATTGGGAACCCTACGCCTGCTTGCAGGCGAGGGTTCCCGTCGCTGGTTTGGGGAACGCCTGTGGGGGGTTCTCACGAGCAGAGGGGGAGGCCTTTGCGCCCTCCGCCCGGGCGAGCGTGGACCCCTGCCGCCGTCGCCACAGCCCCCCCCCCCTTGCTCCTCGTTCGAGGACCGATCGGTCCCCTCTCCCCTTTCTCCCTACCGCCTGCTGTCGTCTACCCCTTTACTGACTACCTCCACCAGCCGGCGACCACTGGAGCGTACGCTCCAGTAGTCGCCGGGGCCCGAGTTTGATCACACCCCTCAGAGCCGTCTGGCCCTGGGTGGGACGGAGCGCCGCGTTCGGCAAACTATCAGGCCGCCAGGAGCCTGGAGGAGGAGGGGGAGGAGGAGGAGGGAGATGAGGAGGAGGAGGAGGAGGAGGAGGAGGAGGAGGAGGAGGAGGAGGAGGAGAGGAGGAGGAGGAAGAAGAGGAGGAGGAGAAGAGAGAGAAGGAGGAGGAGGAGGAGGAGGAGAAGAAGGAAGACGAGGAGGAGGAGGAGGAGGAGGAGAAGGAGGGGCGCTCGTCGCTCCCATGGAGAGGCTCCTCTGCGAGGGCGTCCTGCCCGAGAGGCGGGCGGACCCGAAGGCGAAGGCGAAGGCGAAGGCGGCGCCGGGGCCCGTGGCCGGGGGCCTGGAGGGCGGGGCCGCGCAGGCTTCGGCTGCACGCAAGAGGGACCCCTCGCCGGAGCGGCCCTTCGGTGCGGGCCCCTCGGGGTCCCCCGATCGCCGAGCGCGGTGCGACTCTCCGGCGTCCTGCGCCCCTGTGCGGGGGTCCGCGCGCGGCCCCCCTCCTCCTCCTCCTCCTCCTCCTCCTCCTCCTCCTCCTCCTCCTCCTCCTCCTCCTCCTCCTCCTCCTCCTCCTCCTCCTCCTCCTCCTCCTCCTCCTCCTCCTCCTCCTCCTCCTTCCTTTCCATCCCTTTTCCTAATGAACAACTTTTCGCTGTCGCATCCCCTGACGTATCGGTAGGGCGGACCGGGCATTTCCCCGAAGACTTCCCCCCAGACGCCGCGCACCGAGGGGCACTCCTGCCCGGGGGTCACTCGTTGCGTGCAGCCGGGCAGGACGCCGCGCAGCCTGGCGGGGCCGAGGAGGCCGGCCCGAGGACCGCGGATCGAGTAGGGGAGTGAGCAATGGCATAGACACGAAAACCCGGCGGACCTCCGAAGTTTTAATGTTTTTGGCAGTGTTCGTTCCCCGATCTAGGCCTCCCAGATGGCGTCCGAGTGCGCAGGTGGGGTCGGAGGATCGCGCCGCATCGCCGACGTATCGGCGATGCGGCTCGATGTGGAGCCCGATTCGATCCACGCCAGGGGCGTCGATGCATCGCCGACGTCGCCGGTGGCGGCGCGATCTTCCGACACCGTTTACTCCGAGCCGATCTGGGTGGCCTATAGTGGAGGGTCCGCTCCTTTCGTTGCGAAGACCGACAGCGTTCTGTAATCATCTGGACAGGACTCACTGTCGGTGTCGCCGCGGACGTTGTTCATTTGAGACAGGAGGCTACCTGTCCTACAGCGGCCGCGGCCGGTGTTGGACAACCTGTGTTGTTGGGCATCGCACCCATTCTTCCCCGTCCCCATTTCGGGCGTCCCAACGACCGACATGGGTAAGTGCAGGGACCTAGTTGCCTCCTCCTCCTCCTCCTTTCCCTCCTCCTCCTCCTCCTCCTCCTCCTCCTCCTCGTGCCCTCGGCGGCCGTGCCGTGTTCAGAACGTCCGTGTCCGCAAATTGCGCGTTGGCTCAACGTGTTGGCACACTTTTTGGGCGAACGCACCGCGCCAAACGTCAATCTCTACGTGTTGAGCTCCGTGTCAAAACGCTTCGGGTTGCGTGCTGAAGATTGGGGCAGCCAGGTACAGGGAGAAAACAATTTTTAAAAAAAAAAGTACAGGGAGAAAACAAACCAAGACCACCAGCAGTGTCTCTTTCAAGCCAGCGGGGGGGCCTGAGGTGGCCCAGTATGGGCTCCGGCGAGCAGGAAGGGGGGCAAGCTTCGAGGTTCTGGGCTCGAGAAGAGTTTGAGCACTGTGTGTCTGTCTCCGACGGCCGCATCCGGGCCCCAGGACCGGCAAGACAGATCCAGGGTGAACACTTACACCAGGTGGAGCCCGGGAGGCGCCTGGGGACAGATGTTGAGCTGGTGGTTTGCCTTCCTTCCTCTTTTAAAACGATTTGCTCGGGGCCCATCTGGCCGCCTCAAAGTTCAGACCCCCTGGCCACATCCAAATTCCTGTCCATTGTGAACAGGGTTCGCTGTCTGCGTCGCCGCGGTCAGTGTCCGTTTGAGACACAGGCTCGCCTGCCCAACAGCGACGGCCGTTGTCGCTTTTTGACTACACTTGCTGTTGGGCATCGTGCCCATTGCAGTCAAGCATCTGATTCGGAAATTTCCTCCCGAAAAGCTCGGCCAGATTTGCTGCAAAGCTGTTACGCCTTCCTTGTGGTTGCTTGCGTTTTACTTCGCCTCGACGAGAAACAGGGTCTGTAGAGGCCAGGTGCAATTGTGTGAGTAATATGCGCGGCGCGCGACTTTCGTCTAGGATGCACACTGCCCCTGGGTCACGCTTATTCGAGCATCTCTTCGTTCTTCAGAGGTTACGGTGAGATAAGACATGCTGCAAAGCTAGCCCAGTTTCTTGAGCATGTTCGCCCCTCCAGCGTCAACGACAGAATTTGACCCAGGCTTCTTTTAAGAAACTTCGGGAAGCTGGCCCAGATTTCTGAACTTGTAATTTTCTGGATCGCATTTTCGGTTGTATTTCCGTATCCTATGCCTCCTAGGTGGGGTCGGAGCAGATGGGGTCGGATGATCGCGCCGCATCACCGATGCATCGCCGATGCGGCGCGATGCGGAGCCCGATGTTCCCCACGCCGGCGTCGCCGATGTATCGCCCACGTCGACGATGCATCGCCAGCATCGCCGATGCATCGCCGATGCATTGCCGATGCATCCCCGATGCATCGGCGATGCGGCACGATCCTCCGACCCCGTCTGCTCGGACCCCATCTGGGAGGCCTCTACGTACCCAGTGCGGGCAAGCCGAGCTTCGATCCGATCGATTCGATTCAGTGTCGGTTCTGGCCGGCTCGGTGCGGTCCGGTTCCTCGGAGGAGGGCCAGTCGAGACAGCGGCCGCCCTTCTTGGCATGCTGCTGCTTTTTCTTCGCGCCTCAATATCGAGGCGTCTCGTCGCTCTGCGGCCTGATCCGCCGCGCAAAAAAACTGTCTCGGCGGCGAGCGAGGGGGGGGAAGTGAGAAGGAGAAGGCCTTCTCAGAAGGCGGCGGGACTTCTCAGAAGGTCCCCTGCCTTCGGAGAGTTGTTGTCCTGTCCTCGGGGAAGGCTTAGAGAAAGCTTGCCAGAAAGGCCAGGGGACTTCGGAGCCTTCTGAGAAGGCCCGCCCCTTCGCACTCCCCCCCCTCGCTCGCCGCCGATTGTCGGGATGTTACTCTGGAGGGGCCCGCGGACCGATTGGAAGCAGATGTCGGTTCCGATGTTGCGATGCAGCCCGCTGCTTGTGCATGGCGCGGCTGTGCAGCCTGGCGCAGCCAGTCCGCTTCGACTTCGACTCTCCGTGCCAGGGCAGCCCGATCCGACGCACACTGCGACACCGTGGTTGCCCTGGCCCTCCTCCTCCTCCTCCTCCTCCTCCTCCTCCTCCTCCTCCTCGTCCTCCTCCTCCTCTTCCCTAAGGATAGGGGAGGCTTCGAGAAACTTGCACTTTTCCCAGGCTTCCCCGCCCCAGCGCCCCGTAGTATCAAGGCCCCTCTTCTGAGCTGCCGACCCCTGCGTGCGAGGAGGGAGACGGTGGGCGGTGCTGGTGATTTGGGGCTCTCCTGGAGCAGAAGGCCAAACAAGGACATGAGCAGTGAACATGCACTTCTGGATGTGTCGCCCTCCCCTGCCCCCTCCCGCGGCCGCTCCTCTCCTCTTCCACCTGGCGCCGGTGCACAGTGGATGCTCCGCCGCGCCGGCTCTGTTGCTGCTCGACGCTTTGTGTCCGATGCTGACAACCGAAGGGATGTTTGGATGCGCACGCGCAGTTCCCGTGTCGGCGCTGGAACCCCCTGGCGGTGCCTCCGACGCCGCCACTTGCGCGCTGCGCGTGCCAGGGGAGTGGGTCCAGCGCTCAAGCACCGAGCCAAGAGTTCCGCACAGCTGGGGCTCGTTAGCCCTCTTTTGCTGCTGAGCTTGTGGACCCGGAGGAGCCTCGTCGCCGCGGGTGGAGATCCGCTTCGAATTCGCAGCGCTCTATGGGGGGAGGTCCAGGGATCGACTCTTGATCAGTATCGTTTAACCGATCCCCATCCCCATCCTCATCCCTGTCGCCCCCACCAAATTACCACCCCAATTGGGGATACACCCCTCGAAACCCGAAGGGAACGGTCTATATCCCCATCTAGGGGGGTAAAACGGCCAGTGGGGCCCAGGCCACGCCGCTGGGGATAGGGATCGGATAAACTACTCTCAGGGACTGACCTCCAGCGCCGCCATGGGTATCGCCGCGCGCGTGTTTAATGTCCTCGTGGCAGCTTCTCTGCGCCCGTGAGCATCACGCGCGGCGGAGACACTGGTCACGGGGCTTGGGCTTAGGTTTGAGTCGGGTCTGTCCCTCTAGAGGAGGAAGATTCAAAGATGGTCCAGAAATAGTATGGGGACAATTTTCATGATTTGCATGTTTGAGCATTTTTGGAGTATGTTGTTGCATCTGTCGTCCAGAATCCGCCTGCAGGGGGACACGCCCGACCTAAGCAAGTGTTGAGGGCTTCTCTCGTGTGGAAGGCGACGCCTGCCGGCTCCTCCGTTCCTCGTCTGCTCCCTCCGCTCTCCCCACGTCCTCGGGGAGCCCCGGCAAGTCCGGAGGCGGACAACCAGGGAAGCCGCGTGGCCGCCCTGTGTTCCCCTCCATCCTTGCCCCTGCCGATCCTACGGATCGTCCCCGCCTGAATTCGAAGGTCGGGGTTCGTGGCTCTGTCAAGTTTCGTGTTGAAGACGATGCGCTTGTCCATGGTGTGTGGGCGTTGTTCCTGTCACATGCCAGTGACAACGTTACCAGGTGTCTCCCCGTGTCCACGCTGTCCGCACGTTTGTTGATGACAGTGTCGTTTGTCTGACGCCCACATTCTGGGGGGGGGGCGGTTCATAACGTTATGGCAGGTGGGAGCACAGCAAGCACAGACAACGAGGCAAGGTCAACTCACGCATGGGGTCGACAGCCCTGGTGGGCCACGTCGCGAACAACATCACGACGTCGGAGGTCGGTGCTCTTCCAGGGCCGTTGGCAAGCAACAGAAGCCACTCAGAGTTCTGCCACGCAGAGTTCCCGAGACAAAACCACTTGCAGACTTGCTGATCCGTTTGTCATTCTGCTTGTGCCCGTCTGCGCCCTCCTGCACGCCGGACAGTTCGAGTTCCGGTTGCCCCGATGAGCCACACGTGGGAGCGGACTGCCTCTGTCTCGCCGCCGACGGCAAACTTTTGTGCCGGTTTGCGCATCCAGCGGGTGCAGTGCCGAGGTGATGTTCGGCGTGCTCGTGCCCCCCCCTTGAGATTGCGGCGCCTGCTCGGCCCGAGGAAGATGCCGAAGGGCACCGCCGTCACCTTCAAGGAGCAGGCCGCAGACGAGTGGCAGCCCGAGACGGAGGACGGGGGGGGGTCTTTCGGAGGTGGAGATAGACCTCCTACCCCGACGCGTCGATTAGCGGATTGGCCGTTTTCAGTTCGCGAGAGGGCGTCGCGGCCGTCGTTTTTGCGGGTCCAGGTCCGTCGGTTTCGGTCCCAGGCCGTTTTCATCAAGGGGAGGTTTGCGAAAGGGAGGTTTGTCCACCGCGGAGTCTTGGGGCCATATGGGGCGCTCCGAAAACGGTCTTGCCTTTGAGGATCGAAGGAGTCGCCATCGCTTCCGCGGCGGAAGGCGGTGGAATGGCGGCGGAAGTAAGACGAGGCCGCCTCCGCCGGTGGAAGGTTGGCGGAAGGCGGCGGAAGTAAAAGATGCGCCCTCCAAGAGATGCACACGTTTTCGGGTTCAGGCTTTTCCGAAACCCGCCATTCAGGAGGGCTCCGGGGCGGTTCCGGTGCGTCGGAAGCCCGAGAAGGCGAGAACGCCAAACATTTTCGAACACCTGCTGAAAGCTACAGCGTGGTTGCCCCTGGAGGCCCTCGGAGATGTCCTCCTGGAGCCCTCTCGGGCCGTCCTGGGGGCCCACGGGGCACATGCCGTCCCCACAGGTCCAGAGGGGCGGCTGGGCTCGCGTGGCGCCCGGTGGTGGCAGAAGTGTGCCACCCGGGATGGCATGGGTGAGGGCATGTGCAGGGCCTGGAAGTTGGAGTGGCCGGCGGGGAAGCAGAAGAAGAACAACCACACCAACAACACCACCAAGAACAGCAACAGTACGATTGACAACAACACCAGTAACAGCACCACCAACTGCGACAACCATGACCACAGCCACAGGCACAACCGCAACCACAACAACAACCACCACAAAAACACCAGCAACAACCACAACAACCACGACAACCACAACCACCACAACCACAACAGCAACAATCATTTTACGACTGATCGCTCTTACTGGCACGCGTGTCTTGCATTCCGTGTACCCCAACCCTCGATACCCGCCCATTTCGTCTTCGATTGCACCCCCTTTCGGGGGGAATCTCTTCCTTGTCGGCCACTGACTGAAGTGCGAAGAAGTATCGAGCGAGAGCGCCGTTCCTGAGTTCGGGGGCATCTCTGGCCAGGGGCTTTCGGAATACCTTCGGAGGAATATTGAACGGGCGCCCTTGTCGCCGTGTCCGGGCCTCCACCAGCTTGCATGAATTACGGGAAAGTCTCGAGCGAGAGCGCCGTTCCTGAGTTCGTTGGTCTTCTTGGCCAGGAGCTCTCGGAGTAAATCGTGAGGAAGTATCAAGCAGGAGCCCTTGCCGTCGTGGCTCGGCCTCCGTCAACTTAATTGAATTGCGAGGGAGTCTCGAGCAAGAGCGCCGTTCCTGAGTTCGGGGGTCTCTGGCCAGGGTGTCTCGGGGTAAATTGTGAGGAAATATCGAGCGGGAGCCGTTGTTGTTGTAGCTGGGCCTCCAAGGGCCCACATTTAGGCTCAAGTCATCGCTCGAGCGGGAGCTTCGTTTTCAGAAAAAATGTAGACAGCGTCGAGGCGAGAGCGCGCGGAACCGTTTCCGGAGATCAACCATAATTATGCTTTAGATATGAGTATACAACAACAGCAGCAGTAACAACAACAGCAGCAGCAGTAGCAACAGCAACAGCAACAGCAACAGCAGCAACAACAACAGCAGCAACAACAACAGTAGCAGCAGCAGCAGTAGCAACAGCAACAAGACAAGGTACTGATACCACTACCCTTCCCTCGTCACCACGGCCAGATTCGCCTCGAAAGGTTTGTTTTCGAACGCTCTCCAGGAGCGGTGGGTGGGGAAGCAAACGGACAAAATCAGATTGCAGTCCAATCACACAGTAAGGAGCGCAGATCCAAGAAATCCGCGCGGAGCGCCGAAAGTTTATGTTTATGTTGTTTTCTGTTCTTCTACTTTGTATCCTTCCACTTCGGCCCAGATTGCCGCTCTCGTTGGCCGCGCCCCGCTCGCAGAGTGTCGGCATGGCCGCCTTCCAAGGCCCCCGCTTCCGCCATCGTGCGTCCTCAGTATGCGGGTTGACTGTATGGTGCTTCGAGCGATTCCCACCCGAGCGCGCGAGGCGGGATCCCCAGGGAGCACCATCACACTCCGGGGGGCTGGCGGCCGCAGCGCAAGCGGTCGTCGAAGGCACAGGGCGGGGGGCGTCCATGGAGCACCCGGGGCGCTTCGAGGGCCTGGCGGCCGCGGTACGGCCACGACGCTGAGATAAGGACCGCTTTGGGCTCAACATATGGGGAACGAAGAATGGCATAAACATGAAAGCTTGGAGGTCTGCGCGGATTTCTTGTATCCGCGCTGAATCCCCCCGGCGGCTTCTCCGGCGCCGCCCTTGGCGCGCTCCGCGCGCCAGGGAAGGGGGTCCAGCGCCGATCTCAGAAATCCGCGTGGACCTCAGAGTTTTTATGTTTATGTCACTGTTCGTTCACATAAAAAAGGCCCGCTTTGGGCTCGAGAGGGGCTCGGGTTTTCGGGCCGTGCCTTACATCTGTGTCCGTGAACCTGTTTGTGGCCTAGGCACGCCGTGGCCAGGGAAGCCACTTCGTTCCTTCTTTTCCGCTCCGTATGATAATTCGCACGATGACTGTATGCAGGGTGTGCGAGGATGGTTCGAAGCTGATTCCGTTAAATGTGGCAGCCACCGACTTATCGGGTGGGGGACCGCATCCTTCCAAGCTCACACTTGGAGAACTGGGAAAGGGCACCAACAGCAACACACGGGCATGCCTCCACCGGTGGAAGATGATCCTAGAATGCGGTCTTGGTGGTAATGCTTCGGCCACCCAGGAAGCCAAAATACGACCCCCATCGCCAAGATCGGGAGCACCTTGTCTCGGTGGAGGCACACCGCCGATACTGGTGTTGGTGTTCACCTCTAGGCCTCTGATTCCTTTTCCCCATCCAGGAGGCTGCTTCATCTCGGGGGAGCGTAAGACCCGGGTTTGCCGGGACTCGGGTTCGCCATCGTTTTTTGACGACCGCGACTCGGATTTTGACGAGGAGGAGTTTCGTGGGATGTCTGCAGCGGGAGGCCTCGTCAAAATGCAGGCTCGGCCTCGTCATTTTTTTGACGACCTCGTCGGGGATTTCCGAGTCCCCCGTACCCGGGTCTTACGTCTCCCCGATCATTGCCCTCCCGCCCGTCCTCCCTACGATGATCCAGCGGCTGCGGCCAGGAAGTGCTGCTCGGCAGAGCGTTCCGCCAGTTCTAGCCCGCCACGCTTCGGCGTGACGCGCTGACCAGGTCCCTCTTTTTAAGCGTCACCGTCCCGAGCTCGTCCCAGCCTTCCGGCCCACGGAGCGGAGCGACGTGCTATCCTCTCGCATGGCACAGCGTGCCGCTGGGGCCGCCGCCGCAACACGGTAAGCAAGAGTTCCCGACCGCAGATTCGAGGCCAGTCGTCGGGGTCCTCAGCAGGTCTCGACCATTTCCCAGGTCCTGTGTTTCATCCCGGGTCGCTTGCTGACGGTCCCCGGGCGTGGCGAGGGCCGAAGATAGCACAATATTTGCCGTCGTGTCTTTTTTGACGACGCGAGCATGTCTGGGCCCGAAGCCAGAAGCTGGCAGCGCGAGCTGAAGGTTCTGCTTCTCGCCCTCCTCCGAGGAGGAGAAGGCACGGGCGGAGGCCGCCAAGGAGGTCCTGGCCACGGTGCCCGAGAAGGGCGTCGTGCGCTACACGTTCCGGGACGAGGGCTCGCTCGGCATCCGTTTGTCCAGAGACGTCCCGCCTTGGATCCTGGAGGCGCCACGGGGCCACGGGAGGCAGGATCAGAATCGGAGCAGAGCCGGTCCCGGCCTCCCGAATCGGGCCCGAGCAGGTGGGGTCTGGAGGATCGCGCCGCATCGCCGATGCATCAGCGTTGCGGCGCGATGCGGCCCCACTTTCCCGCCCCGACGTCGCCGATGCGTCGCCGATGCGTCGCCGATGCGTCGCCGATGCGTTGCGATCCCCCGACCACACCCAGCGAGGCCCAGTTCGGAAGGCCTCCAGCCAGTCGAGACGACGGCGGCCCTCCCTGGGTGTTGCATCCTCTGTGGGCCTCCCACGGGCTTCTCGTCTCGTCACCGCGGCCGGATCCGCCTCCAGGGACACGTCTGGAGGGGGGCCAAGGGGGGGGACGATCCCGGGGCCTGCGGTGGGGGAGTTCGTGGAGGGAGGTGCCGTGGAGGCCGCAGACCCCGGGCGATTCCTTCTCCGATGAGGGCGACGGTGAACGCTTGGAGTTCCAGGGGCTTCGAGACCCTGGGTGCCTTACGGCGAGCGCCTCGGATGAGGAGCACTTACTTGTCCAAAGGGGGCTCTTTCATTTCTTAGGTTTGCATGCGTTATGTATCGCTCCTTTTCCGTGTATATACATATATATATATATATATATATATATTAGTAGTCGTTCCTTATGCGTTACTCCTTGGAAAAAGGGGCTTCGTTCCTTATGTATCGTTCCTTGGGTCAGGCCGATGACTGTATTCAATGGTTCCTTGGACAGTGCCCTCGCCATATTCTGCACGGACCTGGGCCTGGACGGGCGAGCGCGCTCTGTTGCCCTTCGACTCCGGCGGGAGGAGCCCGCAGTCTCGCGCGGCATGCTTATGCCGAGTTGCGCCTGCGTTCTGCTCTCTTGCACGGCTGCTCCCCGAGAGGAGAGGAGGATGAAGAGGGCGGAGCAGCAGGAGGAGGAGGAGGATAAAGGCGGAGGAGAAGAAGGGCGGAGGAGGGCAGAGGAGGAGGAAGAGGAGAAAGATGAGGAGGGCGGAGGGCGGAGGGCGGAGGAGGAGGGCGGAGGAGGAGGAGGAGGAGGAGGAGGAGGAGGAGGAGGAGGAAAAGGGCGGAGGAGGGTGGAGGAGGGCGGAGGAGGAGGAGGAGGAGGAGCACGCGGACCTCCTAAAGCTCATGTGTTGTGCAGTCCGTTGTCCTTCCTGGCCGTATCGTTTGTTGTCCCACGACCGGCGTCCGTGCTCAGTCCTGCCAGGTGCGCGACGGGACGCTCTCGGCAAAGAAGGCGCCCAGGGTGCCCGTTGGCGGCGTGGTGTTGGCCGTCAACGGGTTCGAGCTCAAGGACGGGGCCCGGCGAAGCGCAGACCAGGATGTTCACCCTGGCTCTTGGCTGTCGACCTCGTGCCCAAACCACGCATCGACAGAACCATCCACGCCCCCACTGGGACAGGCTAGGCCACGTACCCTCCTCTAGATGGGGCTCGGCGCCGTGAGAAAGGAGACGGCACCCATCCCCACTTGGGGAGTATAGGTCGGCTGGCAGGGCCAGGCTTTCCTGTGTACGGGCCGGGAGGGCTTTTTTCTGGTCCAGACACCCTTTGACCTCCACCTTCCGAACCTTCCGCGCAGCAGTTGCCGCCGCGGCGCGGCCGCGGAGACCGCCGAGACCGCCGCTGCGGCCTCGACGGCGGCCTCGACCGCGGCCGCGCTGGCGGCCGCTGCTGCGCGTCATCTGCCGTCCGGCAGGTGCGGAAGGTGGAGGTCGAGGGATACGTCGCCCTACACCCCCAGGACGAGAGTTTCTTCCTCTTGAGCCCAGACATGACGGCCTCAATTCTTGTTCCAGTACGCATGAGATAATTCAGGTGGCGTGGATCCGAATTTTGGTTTGGATTTGATTTGCGGTGGATCCGCTTTCCGTCCGCGCGGATTCGATTTCAGATGTTATGGATCTGATTTATCTTTGGCTTCCTGCACACGGATCCGATGTACATGTTGTTTGGAGTGTATATTCTAGACGATTCGCATAATCCCACCAGCCCATCCTGAAGCGATGCCCAGAGGAGATTGCCTTGATCCGGGATGTGGAGGAGCATGCAGTAGAAAAAATGGCTGGGTAAGCTTTCATCTCCCAAGAGGGTGAGGACGGAGGAGGAATCGGAGGCGAAGGAGGAGGAGGAGGAGGAGGAGGAGGAGGAGGGAGAGGAGAGAGGAGAGGAAGGAGGAGGGAGGAGGAGGAGGAGGAGGAGGAGGAGGAAGAGGAGGAGGAGAGGGGATAGGCGGTGAGAGGAGAGAGGAGGAGGAGGAGGAGGAGGAGGAGGAGGAGGGCGAGCGTACAGACCAGAGACCTGTTGGATGTTTCTCGGAGTCTCTTCGGAGGTCTCTTGGCAGCTTCTTGTAGGCCTCTTTTGGCGTCTCGGGGGCCTCTTGGCGGTCCCGAGGGCCTCTTGAAGCGCCTTGGGTACCTCGGGGGAGCCTCTTAGGGCCGCCTGGGGATATCTTGGAGGCCTCTTGGGGACCTCTTGGAGGCCTCTTGGGGCCTCCTGCGCGCATCTTTGGCCACTGGTGGGAGCCTCGGGGGCCATCTTGGAGGCCTCTTCGGGCCTCCTGGGCGCATTTTGGGGGCATTCTTGGGCCACTCTTGGGCGCCTCGGGGGCCATCGGGGGGCCATCTTGAAGGAGATCGATCCAGGAACAGGGGGGGGGGAGTCAATGAGAGCCTGCCCTCCAGGAGGCCAAACTTTGCCCACCACCTACGTAAACTCAATGAGTTGTGCCTTCTCGCCGAGGCTGTCCTGCACGCTCCAATCGGTCGCCCTTCCCTCCCGCCAGACCCAGGGGGGGAGGGGTCAGGACACCCTCCAGATGGCACGCCGTCTAGCTCAGTCCACCCGCCCTCCCAACACATAAGGAACACCCGAGCCTCAGCATTTTCAGCGGTCGTCTTTGGATGGGCAGCTACTGGGAACCAAACCTGAGCCCATGTGCGCGACGCTGGGGCGAGATGCGCCACGCGCGCCTGGCGCGCCACGCGCGCCAGGTCCAGCCGCGCCAGGTGCGCCGCGTTCGGGGCACGTGCAGAGTGTGTCAGGCGCGCCTGCGCACGTGACAGCGCACATCGGGAAACATGTCGGCCCCCACAATCGTTGTCGACAACCAATGCCCATCATTGTGTCTGGTGGGCCTGCGCACAGCAGGCCATACGCCCCCCCCGTTCCTGTCAAAAACCGCGTGACAATGATCGCGGGGTGGCCGCGCATGATCCCGATTTAGCCGCGAGGTGCATTTTGTATTGTGTTTTGGCAGGGGTGGTAGCCCTGCGCACAGCAGGTAATATGCTGACACCTGCGCCAACCTCGCCAAACAACAATACAAAGTGTTCGCGGGCCTTCCAGACGTTGCCCCAACGTGTATGTTGTATTGTGTTTTGATCGGGATGGTGGGGTGGGCGCATCGGGTTGGCTGCGCATGCTTCGAATTTGGAGGTAGAGTGCGTTTTGTATTGTGTTTGACAGGGATGGTGGGGGTGAACATGGTGCCTGGTTGGCTGCTGGTCGCCTGTGGGAGGGGGTGTATATCAGTAGGGAACAGTGACCAGCCCTTCCCCGAAGGGGAAAGAGGGGGTGGGAAGAATAAACTCGCTAAACCACTCACGCCTAAAATGATTGGTGGGTTTATTGATTTAAACCAGGGGGCCGAGGGAAGTCGATCCGCGGCACCCAAGCCCGCCGTTGTGAAGATTCCACTGGGCAGGGGCCTTCGATTACGAACTGCTATAGACAGGTCGCGATTTGTGTCACGTGCCCCATCACAGCTTTCACCGCGCACGGGTCGCACCCAACATGATTACATGTTTCTTCAATGCTTGGTTGCGGCAGGCAGCCTGCCTAGACGCCGTGAGTTTGGCGGCGTCGACGACCTCTCACCAACGGTCCACTGCCGTCGGCGCTTCACGGAGAGCAGCTTTCGCCTTGCGTGCAGTCTAGATTTTGTTTGAAGCGTTGACCCTCCCACGCTAGATGATCCGCCTCTCCTCCTCCTCCTCCTCCTCCTCCTCCTCCTCCTCCTCCTCCTCCTCCTTCTCCTTCTCCTCCGCCCTCCTCCTCCTCCTCTCCTCCTCCTCCGCCTCCTCCCCCTCCTCCTCCTCCTCCTCCTCCTCTCCTCCTCCCCTCCTCCTCCTCCTCCTCCTCCTCCTCCTCCTCCTCCTCCTCCTCCCCCTCCTCTCCTCTCCCACCTCCCCCTCCTCCTCCTCCCCTCCTCCTCCTCCTCCTCCTCCTCCTCCCTCCTCTCCTCTCCTCCTCCTCCTCCTCCTCCTCCTCCTCCTCCCTCCCTCCCTCCCTCCCTCCTACCTCCCTCCCTCCCTCCCTCCCTCCCTCCCTCCCTCGTCCCTCCCTCCTCCCTCCTCCCTCCCTCCCTCCCTCCCTCCCTCCCACCCCTCCCCTCCCTCCCTCCCTCCCTCCCCTCCCCCCTCCTCCTCCCTCTCCTCCTCCTCCTCCTCCTCCTCCTCCTCCTCCTCCTCCTCCTCCTCCTCCTCCTCCTCTCCTCCTCCTCCTCCTCCTCCTCCTCCTCCCTCCTCCTCCTCCTCTCCTCCTCCTCCCCCTCCTCCTCCTCCTCCGCCTCCTCCCCCTCCTCCTCCCCCTCCTCCTCCTCCTCCTCCTCCCCTCCTCCTCCTCCTCCTCCTCCTCCTCCTCCTCCTCCTCCTGCCTCCTCCTCTCCTCTCCACCTCCCCCTCCTCCTCCTCCTCCTCCTCATCCTCCCTCCGCTCCTCCTCCCCTCCTCCTCCTCCTCCTCCTCCCTCTCCTCCTCCTCCTCCTCCTCCTCCTCCTCCCTCACCTCCCTCCCTCCCTCCCTCCTCCCCCCTCCCTCCCTTCCCTCCCTCCCTCCCTCCTCCCTCCCTCCCTCCCTCCTCCATCCCTCTCCCTCCTCCCCCCTCCCGCCTCCTCCTCCTCCTCCTCCTCCTCCTCCTCCTCCTCCTCCTCCTCCTCCTCCTCCTCCTCCTCCTCCTCCTCCTTCTCCTCCCTGTGAGGCGTGTCCAAAGGTGTGACTGCGGCGGGCCCCGCCGCCCTCACAGTGGGCAGCACCGCCTCTTGTCCAGCACCACGTGCTCTCTTCTTGCCTGCAGCCTCAGCCATTATCCTCCTTCCTGTAAGTCGGGCCTGTCCCTCCACAGGAGGAATATTCAAAAATATGAAAAATAGTATGGGGACGATGTTTTGACAATTTCCGGCCATTTTGGAGCATTGTTCGGCTGTTTTTCATTTTCCGTAAAAAATCCGCTTGTAAGGGGACATGCCCGACCTCCTGGACGCAACTTGGAGGCCTCCTGTCAAGGGAGGAAAAACCACCCGGACCCGACAATTGGCGTTTACTAAACGGCCTTGGGCGTTTACTAACAAGCCCTGCCCTGTCTTGGGGCGCGTTCACTAAACGACTTCGCGTGTTGGGGTGGTTATTATGGTGGTGGATTTTTGGACCTCTATAAATCCTTCCTCCCCCTCCTCCCTCCCTCGTGGACGCAACCCTGGAGGCCTCCTGAGGGCCTCTGGTGGAGGGCCTCCTGAGGTCCTTTGGGGGGCCTGCCGGTGTCCGTTCAGGGCCCGTCGCGGGTCTCGGGGCCGTCCTGGGCGCGACAATTCCATGGAGAGTTCTCCCTGCAAGGCTGTGTTGCAGCATCTTGGGGATTTCTGGGTGGATTAGTCGCCTTCTGGGATTAGGTCGGGCACGTCCCTCTTGCAGGAGGAATGCGGTAACTATCAGAGGGGGAACAGGTACCCATACTTCTACGCTCTCGCAAGTTTTCCCCTTTTCGGGCCTCTTCGGAGGCCCTCGTCACCACCGCTGGATTCGCCTCGAAATCCTGTTCAAAACGCACCCCTGGAGAGCTCCGGGGAGTAGCGGTATCGGTACCTTTTGGTTTCACCATTCTTGGGTTATGTCGGGCATGTCCCTCTTACAGGAGGAATGCGGTAACTACGGGGAAACAATTAGTCAACACTCCCCCGTTCCCCCAACACTCAAAGCTGGCATGCGCGGGGGAGACTGCGGTCGAAGTGGAACTCCTCAGGGAGGAGGGGGGGGTGTTGACCGATGAATGTGGCATGCGCGTTCGCTATTTTCTTCCGAGGCCTGTATTCAAGAATGGTAAACAATAGTCAGGGGAGGTTGTTTCGGCTGTTGTTTGACCATGTCTGCATATGCTTTGACTATCTTCTATATTTCGTCCGACGTAATGTTGACCATCTTGATGAGTTGTCGTCCAGTTTGGGGCTATCGTGCGGCGCTCTCGGGGCCGTCTTGGGCCGTCTTGGGGTCTCTGTGATATTGCGTTGGGAGGCGACCCAGGGGTCGAGAAGCATCAAGCCAACACACACATACACACACACATCGTCCTGAGGTTGTTCCCTTCGCCTGTTCGGACCTCACTTAAGGCCCCATTCGGCGCGCCCTGGGGGCTTCTTGGAGCCGGTGAGGCATGCTTGGGAGATTTTGGACCATTTGGGAACGCCTTGATCCGTCTTTGGCTGGTTTTGGCCTTGCAGCCGCTCTGGGTCGGTCTTTGGTCGCCCTGGAGTCTTTGGAGCTGCCTGGAGTCCGACAGGGGGCCGCCAGGCAACGGAATTCTGGGGCGCAGCTCTTTGGTTTAAGAGGCGCACGGCGAGGGAGGGGATCGCTCATGCACGGCAACATGTGCAACCCCTACAAGGTTACAGACAGACATCATGACATGCCTCAAACGTGCCGAAGGCTCTTCGGCGGATCGCGAAAGAACATCAGGCCTTTCCCAAGGCTGCTTGGATCGAACGTGAACATAACACAGAAGCATAACGCTTCGGAGGTTTGCGCGGGTTGCTTGAATCGGCGTTGGAGCCCTTTCCCTGAGTTTCGGAGCGCGTCAGAGGCGGCGCCGAGGGAGCCGCCAGGGGAGTCCAACGCCGATTCAGGAATCCGTGCGGGCCTTTATGCGTGTGTCGTCCTTTCTTTTGCTACCGAAGGAAAAAGACGACAAGATCGTTGCGGAGTGCCTCAAGAGGCGGCCAGTCATCATAGACGTGCAATGGCCGCTGGATCAGGGGCAGCCGACGGTGTTGCGGGCTTAGGCTTGGCGACATGATAGACTCGGACCGTTGGTAGCAAAGAGCCTATCGCCGTCCCCGTTGCCATCTTTTGTCAGATCAATAGGGCCTTGTGGAATACAAGGAGGAATCGAGGAATAACAGGAGGAGCCGAGTGGAGTGGAGATGAGAGCAGAGCAATGGAGGCGCAGCGTGCGTCTGTATGAGAGGAGAGGTCATTAGAGGTGAGAAACGCACGGGAAAGGACGGGAGGAGGGGATCGCAGCGGAGTGGAGCGCAGTGGAGTGGGGAGGAGAGTACAGCGCATGAGGTGAGAGCGGCTCACGGGAGATAGGGGAGCGGGGGAGCGGAGCAGAGTGGAATGAAGAACAGGTCAAGAGGGTGAGTCCGCGCGGATTTCTGGGGTCGGCGTTAAGCCCCCCCACCCCCGGCGGCGCCTCCAGCGCCGCCCCTGGAGCGCTCCGCCCGCCAGGGAGGGGCCGGTCCAGCGCCGATCCGAGAAATCCCTCATGGGTGTTTGTTCGCATGATCTCTTGTCGGAAGGTCGTGGATACGCGGTCCAGAGTGCCCCCAACCGTCCTGTGGTGTTGGATCCTCGTTTTGAAGAGGAGACGGTGCCCCGCCTCCTTTTTCCTCCTTCCCACCCTCCTCCTCCTCCTCCTCCTCCTCCTCCTCCTCCTGCTCCTCCTCCTCCTCCTCCTCCTCCTCCTCCTCCTCCTCGGAGGGCTCTCCTCGTGCGGCGGCGGGCGGGACCAGCGGCGCGCTCCCCGCCTGAGGCCGGAGGCCTTCCCGCGTTTGCGCGCGGGGGCGGGGCGCGTCGGTCCGCCCGACTCGCTCCCGCTGCGCTCTCCTCTCCTCTCCTCTCCTCTCCTCTCCTCTCCTCTCTCTCTCCTCTCCTCTTCTCCTCTCCTCTCCTCTCCTCTCCTCTCATCTCCTCCTCCCTCCTCCTCCTCCTCCTCCTCCTGGCTCCTCCTGCTCCTGCTCCTCCTCCTCCTCCTCCTCCTCCTCCTCCTCCTCCTCCTCCTTGGCGTCCCGACGACCGCAGTGATCCCGAGACGAGTCCAAGACGGCCCCGAGGCCACCAGGAGGGCCCCCCAAGGCAGATGCCTGCAGGGGGGGCCTCACGGCGCGCCGAGATGGCAGCGAGAAGCCGCCCATGGCACGAGCACGGCGCCCATGCACCATCTTCTCGAGCAAGATCGTGGACCCCGTGGCGGTTCAGCAGTACCTGTCCCAGCACCTCCCCAAGTTCGACTGCGCGGACCTACGGGCTCCAGCTCTTCAGGACTTTCAGTGGGCCCTCCGTAAGGTCAGACATACCGCTCCAGGCCCAGATCAGATTCCATACGCTGCATGGGCCACCTCCCCTGGATCTTCTCAGATACTTCATGACCTCATGATGCAGATGTTCGCAACGGGCCTGGCCCCGTACCAGTTCAACGACTCGGTCTTCGCGTTTCTTCCGAAAGGAAACGAACCCCAGGACCAGCATGCCGTCTTTCGAGCTCCAGGTGCCACTCGCCCCCTCTCCTTAAAGAACTGCGACGCCAAACTGATCGCTCATGTCGTGAATATGGGTCTCGTGGACATGGTCAGGGATCGACAACAGACACACAACAAGGATTTGTAAAGGGGCGGGACTTCGGACAACACGTACTGACCCTAGACTCTGGGGCCCGTACAGCAGGTCACTCCCCAGATGCCCCGGATGCTCTCCCTATCCTTGCCAGCTTTGATATCAAAGTTTCCTTCCCACCCGTAGTATGGGAGTTGTTGTTTGCATCTCTGGTAGCTCACGGGGTTCCCCCAGGCTATCTCAATGAAATTTATGTGCTTTATCACTCCCCAGGAGCCTGGGCCCGTGTAGGTGGCCGTCCCCAATACAGGCCAATACATGTTCGAAATCGGCTCCGGTGTTCTTCAGGGCTGCCCCCTCTCGGGATCGATTTTGGCCCTGGCCTTCGATGCACCCATTAGACACCTAGTCCAGATTTTAAGCACTCCCTGGATCCAACAAGCTCGGTGCCTGCGCCGATGATCTGGGCCTCGTCCTCGCTCGCCTTGGGGCCCTCCCTTTCCTCCTTCCCCCGTTTCGGGCCATTGCTATTCTCGCAGGACTCGAACTACATATCCAGAAGACAGCGATTGTGCCCTTACGGCCCCCCTTTTTTCACCTGCTGCGCACCCTCTCGTCCAACGCCTCTTAGCATCTCTGGTGCCTGAGTGGCAGCACAGTCATATTGCAGAATAAGCTCGCTATCTAGGCGTGTGCATAGGCCCAGCAGTAATTTCAGATATTCCATGGAAAGCCGCATTTGGTAAATACTGGTTGCGCGTGGTACAATTAGTGGCGGGCGCTCCTGGTCCCGCAGTGGCGCTCAAACTGTATCATACATGTGTTATCACTGTCCTTTCGTACCTCACGCAGTATTTTCCATTTCCAGTCACGTTCCTGCGGCACGAACGCGGCACCCTGCATAAGACTCTTAGGGCTCCCCTCAACTCCTGGCGCCTCGTCGACCTCCTCGGGACTCGCTAGTGGTCGCAATCGTCCTCCCCCAATTGACTGATCACGCTTTCACTGGCCTCAGCGTGGCGCACGGCCTCTGCAACGCTTCCCGACTGGAAGCCAGTGTATTTCTCTTTAGTACTCGTTCAAGACCAGCGCAATCCAGAACTGTCTCTGGCGGATTTGGCCCAGGCCCGTATTCGGGCCACCGTTTCTCCCGCGTTTTGGAAGAGCCCTGGCATCGTCGAATATTGGCGCGAGCTTGCTGATGGCAAACCACCGTACTCTGTTTCACCGCATGTCTGGCGTGCAGCTCAGCGAGCGGCCGCAGACGAACAGGCTGCAGCTGTCCAAGAATCCAGGCGTGCTAGGGTCAAGCGGCCCTTCACTTCGGTCCTTCACTCCTCCCTTTCCCCGACAAGTTCGCAGAGACTATCACGCCGTCTCTCCTCGGCGCTGCCCGATATCGCAGTGCCACTGAATCTGCCCGACCGCTGGCAGGTATTAACCAGCTACCTCTCGAAGAAGGCCCCAGCCATTCGCTGGGCCGTATATAAGACTCTGGCGGGAGCGTGGTGGATCAGCCACCGCTTCCCCTTCGGCCCGCGCCGCACCTGTCTGCTCGGGTGCGATGTTTGCCCAGATCGTCTCGGCCATTACCTCACCTGCCCCCGCCTCCTCTACTTCCTCGCGTTACCTCGTTCCTTCCTCTCCTCGGACCCCTTCGTTCGCATCGGCATAGGGGCGTCCGGGCAACACGCGAACCCTGAGCACACCATTCAAGAAGCTGTCTGCCGGACAGCGCCTTCATTTCACTTCTATAACAAACTGCGCGTCAGCACGCACGCCGCGCCACGCGCCGCGCTTCTTTCCACTACTGGCACTGAGTGCCGCGCCGCTGCACTTTACGCGATGAGGCCGTAGCCTGAGACGAATTGGAGCGGGGACATTTGTCCTCTTCTCGCGTTTTGCCCGTTTGCCCTCGTCTCTTCTTTTCTTGGTACGGTCGGTCCTTTTCCTCCTCCTCCTCCTCCTCCTCCTCCTCCTCCTCCTCCTCCTCCTCCCCTCCTCTCCTCCTCCCCGTCCTCCCGTCGCACCCTCTCTTTGGCGTTCACATGCCGCCTCGTGTCCACTTTGGCACACCCCTCACACGTGTCGTGGCCCCATAGGGAGCTCCACCCAAGGACCCAGCGGCTGTGTTCACATGCCGCTTCCTGTCAATTTTGGACACACCCCTCACACGATTCGTGGCCCCGTAGGAGGCTCCACTGAAGGCCCCAGTGGCTGCGTTCGCATGCCGCCCCCCTTCCACTTTGGGACACATACCACACGTTCCGTGACCCCATAGGAAGCCCAACCGAAGACCCCAGTGGCTGCGTGCACATGTGTTTCCACCACCCAGTATAACGCTTCGTGGCCCCATGGGAAGCTCCACCGACGGCCCCAGCGGCATGGTTCCCATGCGTTTCCCCCACCAGTAAAGCGTTTCGAGGCACCGGGGAGCTCCACCGACGGCCCGAGTGGCGGTGTCCGCATGCGTTTCCTTCACCCCGTACCGAGTTTCGTAGCCCCGCAAAGGGGCTCCACCGAAGGCCCCAGTGACTGTTCGCTTGCGTTTCCTCCACCCAGTACATCGCTTCGTGGCCCCATAAGGAGCTCAACCGAAGGTCCCAATGGCGGTGTCCGCGTGCGTTTTCCCTAGCCAGTACAACGCTTCGTGGCCCCATAGGGAGCTCCACCGAAGGCCCCAGTGACGGTGTCCGCATGCGCCTTCCCCACCCAGTTCAACGGTTCGTGGCCCAATAGTAGGCCCCATTGAACGCTCCATTGTCTGTGTCCGCATGCGTTTCCCCCACCCAGCACAGCGCTTCGTGGCCCCATTGGGAGCTCCACCGAAGACTGCAGTGGCGGCGTTCGCATGCGTCTCCTCCACCCAGTACATCGCTTCGTGGCCCCATCAGGAGCTCCACTGAAGGCCTCAGCGGCGGTGTTCGCATGCATCTCCCCCACCCAGTAATGTCAGCATGTGCTTAACAAAGTCGTCGGGGGCGCGTGTTTAAACAAATTGTCCGCGTGCTCGGGCGAATCGCGGGGTGGCGACCGCCAGATTGAAATTCAGCGGGGCGGCGCCGGTGATTAGCGCCGACTCCTGGCCGCCAACGAGGGGCAACGGGGGGGTGTTTGGAGGCAAGGGCGAGCCAGGGCACCCCTCTTTCTGTCAAGCCGATGCGGGCCTGCCGGCAAAGCGGGCTGGACGAAAGTGGGGCGCAGCAAAGGAGGGATTTGCCAAGCAGCTCGCGTCGCAGATTTTCCAAGCGCTTCGAGGACTGGCTTTTCGGCGGGGCGACCGAAGCCAGCTGCGCGCAGCCGGCTTTGCAATCCCCCCTTTCCTTCCCCAACGTTTCGCCCGACCCGAGCAAGGCGGGTAGTCCTCCTCACCCCCTTGTGAGGCCGTCGCCGCCGCCGTCCCCCGCACTGCCTGCGCGCAGCAGGTTTCGCAATCCCCCCTTTCGTT